TTTGAAATTGTTTCCTAAAAACTAAGATTACAATCAAATAAACTGATCTAAAATTCTTTTTCAACAACAGACCTTATCACTAAATTAACTGACCTGAAATTATCTCTCAATCACTGAATTTTCCACTACATAAATTGATCTAAAATTCTTGCTCAACCACTGAATTTTCCACTTCATAAATTGAATTAAAATGTTCTCAACCAATGAATGTTCTACTACATAAATTGAATTAAAATGTTCTCAACCAATGAATGTTCTACTACATAAACTACACGAAAATTCTTGTTCAAACAATTAGCCTATCACTAAATAAAGTGATGTAGTAGTAGTTTTAACTCTTTCAGTACCAAGGAATGCAATATGCCTTGATTTATATCTTATTTATTTAACCACTGGTACCGAAAGAGTTGAAGTATAATGTCCACCTCAGGCTTCTGCGGACCTGGCTCATCTGAACATTACTGTATTAATTACTGGATTAAAAATTATCTTATTTAAAATAAGTATAAGATGGCTGGAAGCTGACATATTTTGGTCAGATCAAGCGCCACGATGAATTAGAAAAAATTATAGCAGAAGGCATGGTAGCAGCGGCCGACGGACCCGAAGATGGGCACAGGATATAAGTGACTCCTTGAGCATAAAAGTACGTAAGGCAGGAGAACTGGCGAGAGACCAAGTTTCTTTCAAGAGACCGTGATGAGAGCAACATTCTGCAAAAGACCAGCTACATGATGATGATGATGATGATGAATTTCCCCAATTCTGAGTTCTGGGACAAGTTGGAAAGTGCCAAAGAATTGATACTGAGAAAATCGAACATTCCCTGGCAACTGGTGAGTTAAAAGCAGGCCAAACAGACCAATGCTTAGGCCAAATTTGACAAATTTAGATACATACCCAAAAAACAAACATTAATAGCATGTGTGATATGTATTTAAAAAATAAATAATAAAAAACGCACACAGTTAGTCATTAGTCAAGGTTTCAACTTCACTGCAAACAGATTGCCCCATAACTGCTCTATTCTTGTGCCAGTGGGAAAGTCAATGCATAAGGCAGCTGTCATATGTGCCAACACAAACAGTCCTACACAAGAACTGCAACACACTGCTGATGCCAGCAGTCAATTATGAAAGCCGGCTCTGAATATACGACACTGAACAAGTACACGACATTCCAAAAGTCCACCCATCATTTTAGTGCAGTTCACAACATAAAGATAACACAAGTACAACAACAAATTCATTCCACATGAAATCCACAGCCTATAGTGTCGTACCAACTACTCATCTAAGTAGCCGGGCAATTCAATCTTAGGACTCCCAGTTTAGAAATGGCATCCCCCGTGTGGGTTCCGGGGCCCTATTGTGGGGGAAAACAAGAATAGACCCACTGCCTCCCCAAAAGCATGCCGTAAGAGTCGACTAATTGGGGAGCTCCCTTTGAAGTCGGAGTGCGTCTGCCGGAGAGGCAAGAAACCAACAGTCTATATTCAAGAGAATGGGATCTGTAAAACTGATGCACATGCAACACTCAGGTTTTGGAGCAGGACTGCAGTTAAGTAGTGGACGAGCAACCAGAACTTTCCGCCAGAGTGTACAGCTGGTGAACGCAAAGAAGAAGAAGAAGAGATGGCAAACTCTGGCTAGAAACAAACAAACAACTTTTTAGAACATCAGTAGTAACCTGTTGATACTGAATTATTCTGTCAAAACCAAACTGCTAAAAAAATGAACACAACACAAGTTGCTGACCTTTCAGGGTGTTCCTCCTGCATGAGCTCTCTGCTCCTCTCTCCCAGCTGCCGGACCACTTCGGCATAGTCTTCGATATTGTTCTCCACAGTCTGGTGCTTCTTCATCATGTTCTGAGCGCCGATCTCATCCTTGGCTCTCTCCTCCCCCATCATGTACAGCTCTTGCTCACTCATCCAAGCCTCAGCTTCTGATGCATCAACATAGTACTACAACAGAAAGCATCCGTGTAAACAAACAGACATGATCCTGAAAACTAAACATAAAACTGAGTAAATAGTCATGATGATGATGATGATGATGATGATGATGATGATGATGATGATGATGATGATGAACTGTTTCATAGACATAACCAAACTGTGTGATGAATCTTTTAGATCAGGATTATTCAACTGGCAACCTGCGGGCTTAACTTGGCCTAGCAAGTAGCTTATGGACGCCTGGCAATTATATTGCATATACTTCTTACTCTGCTGGGGCTCAGGCATTTGGACCATGACGATATCCATTTTCAACATTTTGGCCCCGGAGTAAATTTATCTGAATAGCCCTTTTCTAGATTATGGTTGATAATCAGATTTACATTACTGCATATAATTAATAAAGACACAAAACGGAGAAACAACTCTATGAAAACAGTAAATTCTGATTAAACTAATGATCAGTAGATATCACTGTACTAATACTATAAATATAAATGCTTTGTCTCCCCCAGCTTCTGATTACTGATTTAAGAATCGACATCACAGCACACCGGGCATACCCGTAGATGCTCCGTCTCCCACAGATAATGTTTTAAGGTGTAGATGCTAACTGTTCCTGTAGCACACTGACTATACAGACGTCATTATCTTCCTCTCATAAGCCCATCCTTGCCAGATCCACACCTAATTTTTATTCCCACATTCTTACACATGTTATTTCATCTAACCTCATGTCTTCTATCAACATTTGTTCATATATGGTTTTTTTACAATGTCTCCCTTGCCCAGAATGAGTGTTCCAGTAACTATGGCTTTTGTAGCCAGAAAATATGCTCTTTCATTCCCTCGCACTCCTGTATATCCCGGACAGTATATCTGATGCTGAGTATCCACTTATGCCATATTTGTCCATTTTTACCATCCGCAATGCTGACTGAGAATCAAACACAATAATTCCTTTGTTAACTTTTATTTTCCGCTATCCACCTCAGAGCTGCAGTGATTGCCTCCACTTCCATCCTCAGGCTTGAAATTGTAGATAAAAAGCTCCATTTAGTTCTGCCATGATCCTTCCCTTCATTCTAGCCAGATCTGAAAACCCGATGAACAGAATCATTGGTGTACACTACTGCATCATCTAGCCCAGCATTTTCATCTATCAGTTACTGAACCTCGAATGTTACCATATCATTACACCACTCTACACCTTAGATAAAGGTGTCTTCATTAGCCATGTCTATCATATAGCTTGAAATCCACAACTATGGATTACAGAAAGAATTCTCAAACCACTAAAATGGCACCATAGGTTACATAAATTTATGTTAACCAATCACAGTTGAACAACTTTTACTTTACTTTGTAGCTCCTCTTCTACCTTGGGGTGTAGAGGTTTGCAAGAGAGATCGCCAGACGTCTCTATCAGCAGTTTTCTTTCTGGCTTTGTTCCATTCCAGTCCTCTGTCAGTTAGGGACTGTCGGATGTTGTCTTCCCAGCGCACCCTGGGTCGTCCCGGAGGTCTGGTTCCCTGGTTCTTAGCCTCCCATGCTTGCCATGGTGGCCGATTTTCTCCCATTCTGCATACATGTCCAAACCATCGTAACTGTGACTGATCTACTCGGGTTACTAAGGGCTGGGTATCAAGATCTTGACGTATTGTCTGATTGCGGACTTTGTCCCTTCTTGTCACTTGGACCACCTTTCTCGGGTATCTCATTTCCGAGGCCTGCAGCTGGCTTCTGTGAGCTGTTGTCATTGCCCATGACTCACACCCATAGGTCAGGACTGGTACATAGGTAGAGCGGTAAACAGCCATTTTCGTCCTCTTGCCAATTTCTCTTTGCTAAGAAACCCTCGGTTTATGGCCTGGAAGAGTCTCCCAGCAGCTGCTTTTCGTGTAGCCAGCTCAGTCTTAATGCCTCCATTTTGGTCTAATACAACTCCAAGGTATTTGAACTGGTTAACCTGCTCCAACGCATACTGTCCCATCATGATCTGGTGTTTCTTCTCCTCTCTTGAGATCACCATGGTTTTAGTTTTGGAGACACTGATGGTCATCCCTTTCTTTTCAAGCTCTTCCTTCCAGACAAGTAAGTTGGACTGAAGGTGTGCCTCTGATTTAGCTATCAGGGCCACATCGTCTGCAAAAGCCAGCTCTGATATACAGATTGGTCTCATCTTCCAGTACACTACAGAATACTTCTTTGTCTTCTCCTTACAGGTCTTGATGACATCATCCATCATAAGAATGAAGAGGTAAGGTGAGAGAATATCACCTTGTCTAACACCGCTGGCAGTCTTGAATTCTTCTGACTTTTAGTCTGCTGTTCTTACATAATTTCTGCACTTTTTGTAGAAACTCTGTATTGCACTGATCAGGGGTGCTGGGATGTTTTTCCCTGCCAAGCAGTCCCAGAGCTTGTTCCAGGGTACCTTGTCAAATGCCTTTTCCAGATCCAAAAAACATAAGTGCATCTCACTCTTATATTCCAGGGCTTTTTCACTCATCTGTCTCAGTGTGAAGATAAGGTCTTGAGTACTTCGGTTTGCTCTGAAGCCGCATTGGGCCTCGTCCAGCTGTGGCTCTACCAGACTTCTAAGTCTCTGCTCAAGAATTCTAGAGTAACTTTTACCGGGAACACTGAGGAGGGATATGCCTCTGTGGTTACAGTTGAACAACAAACACAACAATTTTAAACACATCAGACTGTAATGTTGTGTCTAGAATAAAGTAAAGATCTCTTTTCACGCCTTTAGGTGCATCGGACATATGGGAAGAGCACTCCATATTTTTACGGACTAATCGGCACTGAGTAGGTAATGTGGTCAGCATTACGCCCGCCATCCTGGTACCCATTTAAGGCTGGTTTCGACCCGCGCAGGATAAAAATCTATGCTGCCAGTAGTGGGTTTCGATCGCGGTACGTTGGAATTATGAGTCAGATTCGCAATGCCTAAGCCACAGACGCAGCTGTGTCTAAAATACAAACTTATTATTCATGACATCAGATAAGCAAGAAGCGAACAAAGACATACCTGCTGTGCAACTTCTGACAACAAAAGATTCAGTTTTCGATCCTCAACAGCATCTTTCAGTGCCTGCCAGCGGTGCAACAGGTCATCTATGAGGGACTGGAACTCTTCTGAGTGTGAGTGGCCAGAATCTATCAAATCCTGGCCCACCTGTACTACTGACATGATGCGTGGTTCATGGTTGTCAATTTCAACTTGAAGTGACTGTTGACAGAATTAATTTTTATATCAAATTAAAAGAGGGTTGAAAAAATTAAGGACTTTTTCTTCTTATCTTCTACCATCAGAGTCATCTCATAAAAATGAGGGGGGCTGGGAGGATGCACGGGGTCTTCTTTTTGCTCTTTCTAATACGTTGTAAAAGTTTATCATCATTTCATTAAGGCTGTTCTTGTTGCCGTCATTCTGTGATCTTCTTCTTGCTCTGTGTCCATTATATTTCTTCAATGTGGCTCTTGGTACCAGGGCATTCTTGTCAGATGGCTTAACCATCTGTAGCTCTTCAATAAACTGTGTGACTGCTCTCAGTCAAAGTCTTCTTCTAATTTATTCATTTAAATATTATATCTTTTTCTGTAACTCTGTCAGCTCTTCAAGACATCTCTTTGCTGTTGTAATGATGTTGTGCTGCTCATCAGCTACAGTAATGGTCCACACGACACTGGTAGCATAAACTTGGCCCAAAAACTAGTTCTTATTAGATCTGCCTAATGAAAGGTACAAGATTCCATTTCAATCGGATCCTTTAAACCGACCATTTTATATGTGGTACGTGTGCCCATAAGGTGGCACAGCCAATTGTTTACCAACACAAGAATGAAGCAATTAAGGTGGCACAGCCAATTGTTTACCAACACAAGAATGAAGCAATTATGGTGGCACAGCCAATTGTTTACCAACACAAGAATGTAGCAATTATGGTGGCACAGCCAATTGTTTACCAACATAAGAATGAAGCAATTAAGGTGGCACAGCCAATTGTTTACCAACATAAGAATGAAGCAATTAAGGTGGCAAAGCCAATTGTTTACCAACACAAGAATGAAGCAATTATGGGGTCGCCCATTTGCAACAAAGATAAAACCTCAACTAGTATTACTATTGTCTGCCACTGTGCTACAAACAATGCGCTGAAAACTTTTGGCCAGATTATCATTATAACATTAGTAAAACACAATGAAGTTCTGTTGCAAAGGACTCTGACTTGCACATGTTCTAAGACCTGGCACAGCAAAGAGTTTTTCTCTACCAGAAGTGGAATTACACAAAGAACAATGAAAAATATTTCAAAATTGTGAGCTATATAACAAATAAATGTGTATAATTTCAAACCACACATAAAAAACAAGTAACATCTTCTTCTTGTCCTTTATTCATCTGAAGATATAATTGTGTTCTGCTTGTTTATACAGCATTGCTGCGCTTTTCGTGCCTTTCGGTTGATACATCCAACTGGGTATTTGTTGATCGGGTTAGTTTTGTGGGACACTGCAGTCTCACTGTGGTGTTGTCCTCTTTGTTCCCAGGCCACAGCTGGTGCCCCACATTAGGCCAGTCTAGAGAAGCTATGAAATGCTGGTCAGTCCTCAAGAGAAGGCAGGGCAGAACAAGAACATTCACCGCCATTCAAGGTGGCTTCCACAAATGCAGAGCACACACATAGTTATCTGGTACTGGGCTCATCCAAGGAATATGTAACATCTAACACTACAGAGATGTGTAATATTTCAAAAAAAATGCAAATTAAACAGCCGACATCTCCAATTACACAACAGATAGATGTGTAACATCTCAAAGTACACATTTAAACATGTAACATTTCAAACAACTCAATATTCAATTATATAACATTTCAAACAACACAACAGACAAATATGTAACATTTCAGACAACACAACAGATATATATGTTAATATCGCACACTTCACAACAGACTCTTGCCCACCAACTCAAAAGTCTTGGGTTCAAATCCACTCTTTTTTTTTCCAATACAAGACCTTGGCTCCCAAGTCAACCAAGGATAATGTGGGTGAAAGGTATGTACCATGTATGAAGTAAAGGTGACTGGAATGGGTCTTGCTAACTCACTCTGCTGCATGTGGTTGTGGCTCAACAATGCAAACTCCAGAGCATGTCTCACAGCACTGCCCAGACTTTGCCAGTCAGAGAGAAGAAATCTGGCCCCCAGGAGCAGCCCTACAAGATAAACTTGGGGGCACTGGTGAAGACCACAAGCACACTGTCCTGTTTAGGAATCATAATCGAACAGATGCAAATGTTGATAATCAAAGAAGAAGTCAGCTGGAGAGATGCTGACCCAATCACCCATCGAGTACCAAAAGGTCTGTATCTAGCACTGTATGCCAGACGTGCCAAAGCCATGAAAAATTCCTGCAGTTTTCTTTACACCTGATAAGACACAATTGGGCAGCTGATACTTACATGGTTTTTCTTGATCAAGAGCTGCACAGACAGAAGACTATTGCCATAATCCCGGCTGGTGGCTCTGGGCATGATCTCCTCAATCCACAGCTTTTCATCCTCCACATCCCGCATGAACTGGTGTATGCGCTTGACCTTGTCTAAGTTGGCACGGCGCATCATTAACGGGCCTTGAATCTTGGCAAACCTGCAAATCAATTTGCAATCAATGATTAAACTGTTAACTAAAGTACTCAGAAAGTATTGTTGTGTTATTGTTAGATGTTGTGAGGGCCCTTTGGCAGTGAGTGAACAGTGAGGAGTCACAAATATATCATTACGGACTGGGGAGAATGGCTGGGAGTTACCAGGGGGATCTGGCCAACACCCAATGGAAAGGCGAGAAGGATGTACAATCAGACAGTTACTGGTACCATCAGAATTGGAACACAGCGCTTATGGGAGTGTCACAAGCACTATGATGTTGATTCTTAATTTAACATTCAGGAAGTAAAGAAGGATTGGCTTCGCTGCACCGGGTTTTACTGCCATGTGGTTCAGTCTTTCTCTGCCAAATAGCTGCTTGCTGGAGCTGTGTGCTCCGATTGTCGGAGCTTCCTCACTAGACCAGCCTGCCAACAAAGACTTAGGGTGATTGCTTTGCTTCTTTTGTTCAGTCAAAGTCATCATCATCAACAATTCCCACTTTTGGCTAGTCATTCTCTGCCAATGTATAAGGTATTTAATGTCATCAATTCATGTTCTCCTGGGGTGACCTCTTGCTTTCACATAAGATCTTTTCATGTGTTAAAAACAACGTGCTTAAACTTTTGGCCAGATTATCATGATATCATTAGTAAAACACAATGAAGTTCTGCGGCAGAGGAGTTTGACTTGCAAACGCCTGTTTTAGTAGCTGTGGTTGCATTCTAACAAGAGAACCAAACCTTTTGATTTTGTATTTCTCAGTGAATTTGGTGCAAGGTGTTGTTCCCATAGTCTGTTTGATTGTACTCGTCTTGGATGGTTAACTTGGCAGCTTTCCTAAGGCACCTCATTTCATTTCCTCGAGTTTTCTCGAGCAATAACAGATGAACAATTAAATGCCCTACCGCTCTGCTAGACCTGCTGTGAGATCATCCTTATCTGAACTGATTGAAGTTAAAAACATGCAACAAAACACATTTTAAACTTCACAGAATCAGCGAATATGAATGAAGGTACTTCTCCTTGACTTACGACCTATGTGACCTATGACCATCTGCACTTACAACCACACACAGGAAAAAAAATTAGTAAAGAAAGAAAGATAAACACATTGGTAGCTGACACAAAAAGTTCCTGGAACTGATGCAAAAGTGTACATATTATGTATTTTTCACATTGTGTTCTAAGGTTTTACATACACAGAAAGAACTTTTTGTTTTGTTTTATGTACCTTTATAAAACCTGCATATGAGACAAAAATGTAAATCTGACTTACGACCAGATTTCGACTTTACACACGTTAGTCGGAATGGAACATGGTCGTAAGTCAAGGAGATGCTGTATACTGTAGAATTCTAATAACAGATTTTATTATCACAAACAGAATGTACCTAGTCTCTGTGAATGCAGTAAAAAAAAGGCAAGGGTGGTCCCAATAGCAGATATATGCAACTGGGGTGAGAAGTGCTTGGCATTCACTTGTTTCAAGCCACGACACATGACGTTGGTTTTTTCATATTCTCATAATTTCTTTCCAGAAAATGAGAACAATTATCCGGAACCTATATTTATGAGGGTGGGTTGAGGCCAGGGAAAGGGCGAAATAGAGAGTACGAGTGTGTGACAGAGGAAGGGAAAGGCAAAGTGTGAGAGAGAGGGGGAGGGAAAAGAAGAGAGAGTGAGAGAGAAGGAGGGGCAGAAGAGGGGAAGAGAGTAAAAGTGAGAGAGATGTTGTCCATCCATCATAAAGAAGTATCTGCAGCAACTGCTCACCTTTCAGCAACAAGAATTCGCCGAGCCTCTATCTCCTCATCTTTCTCTGGCTCCATACGACGTAAATGTTCACTCTGTAACTCTAGCTCCTGCACCTGCTGCTCCTTCATTCTCAACTGGTTCTCCAGTTGCTGGCAAAAACAACAGTCATTTCAGTCAACTACTGAACAATGTGTGCTGAACAAAACGAAATATTCCCAATAATGTTTGCCCATTGTGAGTTTTCCCCTGTTGCCCTGAGAAAGTTAAATCTAGTTCCTTTAGGTTCTGACACAGTCCCGCAAATGCTGACATATGGCAATGTCTGCAGTAACCTCAAAAAGCATAGTTAAATTTTACTGGTTGTGGTCGTTGTTTAATAGGTCAGTTTATGAATATAGTAACTAAAAATAACAGGGGGGAGGGGATCCTTATGACCCCAAAGGCTTTTTTCAAATCCAAGTTGACAGAAGATGTCACATTTTCCAGTGAACCTCAATGATTGAGGTCACGACATGAGTTACCCGAGACATTTTGTAAGGCCCCGAGTAATTAATTTTTAATTTAATTTAATATTTCATTCTATTCGTGTTTATTGGTTACCCCTTCATATATCTATTTATATTTCTAATTTTATTTTAGAATGTAAAGATTTTTTTTTTTCTCTCTTTATTAGTGACCTGTGTAACATGGTTGTTTTGTTCAATGATTTGTCTGGAAATTCCTACAAATTCATGACCCTTTTTATTTAGCATTTGCGAGGCAAAAGTGGTTTAAAAACTGAGCCAAAAAATATACAGCAACTGCTGCCTTTCATATTTCCCTATATCTCACTACAACTACTGTCTACAGCAACATATAATGATGAACAATAAAAATCTTATGATTGTCAACATTGTTTACCACTACTGCTAGCAATTTTACTATCATTACTACCAATACCGAGTCCCCCGTGGCGGAGCGGCTAGAAGCTCGCCGTGGATCTGGAGGTCATGGGTTTGCTCCCTGGCAGAGCCTGACTTTTTTCAAAGATGACCTTGGCTCTCAGGTCGACCCAGCTTTGAGTGGGTACCGGGTGCAGTCCCGGGAAGTAGAGGCGGCCGGCGTGATGTTGACCACATTACCTATCTTGTGCCGATGGTCTATAAAAATATAGGTCTAGCCCTATATGCCTAAAGGCGTGGAAAAGGGTCTTTTACTTTACTTACTACCAATACCTCTACTACTACTACAACCACTATGATGATTGCCAAACATTATTTATTACTACTACCACCAATTTTACTACTATTACCACTAACACCTCTACTACTACCACAATTACTATTACTGCCAACATCATTTGTTAGTACTACCATTATACCAACTTCTCTACTACTTTTACCACCACTACTACTACTCTGATTGCTAACATCATTATTACTACTACTTTTACCACTAACACCTCTACTACTACCACCAACACTACTACCATTACTAACAACACCTAAACTACTACAACTATTCTGCTGCTGCTGCTGCTGCTACCACCACCACCACTACTATTACAACTACCACAACAACACTGACACATGTGAACACTTACATTCTGTTTCTGCACCTGAAGGTTCACAGTGGTCAGATCTTTACCGAAATCATCAGAAGTGACAATCTGGGACTCCAAGGCGTTGACCCAGCTGTCTACATCATCACAGCTCTGCTGGTACAACACGGCCCTGTTGGCATCAAACAAACGCTCTCCTTTCTCCTTGGTGGTCGTCTCCAGGTCCTCCCATTGGCTGGAGAGATCGGCCAGCATGGGCTCAATCTGATCCCGGGTTTCCGGCTTGGCTTGCATGATGGATTCCCCTTCCTAGTAACACAGGGAAAAAACAATGTGGTCAAAACTATTCAACTGATATCTAGTTCAGGGTTTGATCAAACAGCAGCATGGCTTCACCTTGTAAGCACAAGAGGAAAAACAGTGTGGTTCAAAACTAGTCCACTGACTCTAGTTCAGGGTTTGTATGTCATCAAATAGTTGGATGATTAGTGAAAGATTATTTAGACGTAGCGAAGACATCGATTTATAGATGAATTATGAGAATACTGTGGATAAATAAATAGAATAATGAAGGTCTTGAAAGAAACTGACTCATGAAGAGAACTGATTGCCCACATCAGAAAGAGGCTTTATTCTTTGGTCATGTCATGAGAAAGAGGAAACTGAAGTACATTGTGACAGTAGGAAAGTTGGAAGACAAAAGAAGCAGAGGGAGACAGAGAGAGATAATGCTGAACATTTGACATCATAGCATGGAAGATCATCTGTGTTAGAAGTGACTGAAAGTACACAAGACAGTAGGGGCTGTGGACAGACATGACTACCAATGTCAAACAGCAGCCACTGTAAGAAGAAGAAGAAGTGATCAAACAGCAAGATAGTACCTTTTTATTTTACAATGTTATCTTTGCCAGTCCAAAAAAACCAGTGTTTCATAATACTAGTTTGATTATAACTTTACTAGAAAATGATAAGGTGCAGAAAAGAAAGGCAAAATAAGAAACAATAAGAAGGTAGCAATCCTTAACATTCCAAAGGAGAAGAAGAAAGAGAAAAGAACATTCTACAAAACAGGGTACAGGAGAAAAGGGTTATTAAGACTTATATTCTTCTACATCCTAATATAAAAGAAAAAAAGGCTCTATAAGGATGCACAGATTAATGATTACAACATGTTAATGTCCAATGAGGAGTGACATAATGTGTGATAAGTTCAGAAATACATAATATAGACAATTTTAAAAATCTATATACTTCTACAGTGACTAAGGGGGACTTCATTTCCTTATAAGTTAGACTAAAACCATTATACAACTCAAATAATTAACTACGAAGTGGAATTCTAGTGACAAACCATCAGTGTTGGCACCTCTGGCTTTTTTGTATTTGATGCATGTGCAAGATGTTGGATTTTGCAGGTACTGCTATCTGATTTGTCACAGAGGATGGTGTTGTGTTTTTTGTATGATTTTCACTGGCACAGGAACAATACAATAATGTAAAATTTGGAGATCACCCAATTCACATTAGGGCAGAACTTCCCCAACTGCATGTTGTAACACATTCGTGTGTTGGCTGCAGTGTGAAGGTGTGTCCCATGGACATACATAATAATTGGCACGCGATGCCAGTTACTGGTGTTATTAAATCTGTTTTATTACTGTTACTAATAAATTATAACAATGACATTATTCTCTGAAATATTATCTATTTTTAAAATAAATGAAAGGTTTTCATGAGAGACCTTGTCTAGTGAAACCTTTTGTTATAACAATTTCTGTATGAATCTGAATCTCTTATAAGAGATTACTTGAACCTCTGGTCTGCTAGTAGACTGAACGTTTTGTTGGCACCTTCCAGTCTTGCCAGATGATACTGTTATACTTTTCTATGAAGAGGCATGGGACTCACAGCCCATGGCAATGGCGAGTGTGATCAGCAAGACCCGCCCGTGTTACGAAGTCTTCCACAATTAGACTGAACTTGTGTGTCTGGTAATATTAAGTTTGTCTAAGAAAAAAAGTGAGTGACAAATATAAAAATGTTGGAAAGCTCTGCATGGAAACAATTATTTCACTGAGTATCTGATCTTACTTCAACAACTCGATTCAGCCTGTCCTTGTTTGCTGCAATCTCAGACTCAAATGCCTTGTGCCTGACATATTTGCTGTGGAGATTCTTTGCATCTCTGTAAGTTTCATCTTGAGCTGCTGCCATCTTGTCTTGCAGCCAGTCTCGCAACTGTGGATATCCAGCATAATAATTAATATTTTAATATAAGGAAGTCATGTAACAACAGTAATCAATCATATGACAATAACTAAACACAGATAAATATCAGGAGGCAATATGAGTGGACAACTGGTGAACAACAGACATGCTTGATGTAATAAGTATGGTACATTCTCCCCAAGTGTAGGGAATAAATGAAGTGTCCTTCTTTGTAGTGTTCACCGGCTGAAAGTTCTGGCTGTTTGTCCAGATTTTAATTTTGTGCCAGAGCTTGAGTTTTTGTGTGCACAAGGAGAAGAAGGAGGAGGAGGAGAAGGTTCCTTTCCTCTCCCTCCTCCCCCATCACAATGGGGTCCCGGAACCCACATGGGGAACTGAAGTGTCCATTACGAAAATTGGACAGAGAAGTTAACATTTGATGCAGTTAAGCAGGCCAAGTATTGGGACAACTAGCCCCTCTCTTACAGCAAAAGGCAATCAAAATCAGCACAGAGACATCTCATACAAAACATATTCATTCCCACCCTATGCTGTCAGTGCCAGACATGGACACTCACAACATAAATGACGGCAACACACATCAACAACAAACCTCATCACATTCCTGCAAGAACTGCTGCAAGGTGAGTTGGTCTTTCAATTTGTCCAGCTGTTCATCAGACCTTTGCCGGTTCTGGTCTCGCCTATTAAATACAAATATAAAAATTACCTCCAGCTTTCTTTTGAACAAGAGCAAACCCATTTAAACCATGCAACATACACTGAAAGACCATGCAAAAATGGATCAGCAGTATCAGAAATACCCAATGAATATTAACTAGTACAAAGCATAAGAAAGAGTTTACAGATGATCTTTAAACCTCCCTGAACATTTTGATGTTGGAGGGAAAGAAGAAGAAAGTATACTATTTTGTTCATACTATGTTTATCATGTCAATGAACAAAACACTCTCATGATAATGTTCTATCTTGTGATTCCCCACAAGCTAAATCTTCAAGTTTCTACAGGATGAAGTAGACAGCCCCATGAACAACGATAACATTGGTCAGCTCACACCAAGAGCAGACAGATTCTAATGTTCTACTGTGAAACAAGAACAAAAACACAAAGTGATTTCTTTGTTGCTGTGTCAGCAACTCTGTTATTTAACCCATTTGTTGTCTTCTGCTTAACTTCCTCTTTACCGCTTCGGGTGTTAAGGGAGATAAAAGATTCTACTTGTTGGCTCTTCTAAAGAGACACTGTGCTGTTGTAGAGATTTGTCTGATGTTACCTTTTCATCTTGTCTTTGGTCTACCTTGTGCTCGATGTCATCCTTCTCTTTTATTGTATGCTTTGAATGGTATGGCATCACATGGTATTCTCTCCAAGTCTTTAAACCATTTGATTTGCTGTCTCTGTATGTAATTTAGAACTGGTTGTGTGTTGACCTTTTCTCTTATGACCTCATTCCTAATTGTATCTCTACTCATCAATTCAATCCACTAATACCAGAAACCTTTGACAGCACCAAACTTCATGTAGCTGGAGAAATCACTGAAAATAAGGTGTACCACAACTAAACTGTTTTAAAGAAAAAAGAGAGTGGTTGGTCTTGCTGAAAGAATCTGGTGTCCACCTCAGACTCTAAGGTTAATGGTTTAAATCCCATGGGTTATGTCAGCACACCAAGACCATAGATTTTCTTAGGAAACTAACTAATGACAGGAAAAAAATCAGATGTTCTAACTAAAAGGCAAATATCACAGTTATGCTGTAAACATTTACGGTCCTATTGATGTTTCCTGGCCCATCTACACACTGGCTGACCTTTCATTTATACTTTCTCAGACTGTTCTAAGTCAGAGGGGTGTCATATTGTCTTGCCTCCAATTACAACAGTGCTGATGTCTCGTGTTCTATACTTCACAACGACACAGCTTTTAACGACCCCAGAACATCCAGAACTGGCCCTCCCCAAACCCTCCCTATCCACAGCCCGAGCCTAGGTCCCAGGAGAGACTCTTTTCAAAGAAAATACTACAACGATGCACCCCTTTGACCTAAACCAGACTGAGAAAGTGTGTAGATGGGCCGGACGTGAAATAAGACCACATTTAAAACAATTAAAACTGCTCAATAAAAATAAATAAATGAAGAAAACTGCAACAACACAAAAAAAGGAAAGGAAAAAGAAGAACTAGAAGAAGGATGAAGAAGCAGAGCTTCAGTTATGTATCTCACATCAATACATCAACACTCACCTTTCACTGATGGATTCTGCCTTCTTGTGTATCTTCTCACGATCATAATGGTTCTCATCAATGAGTCGGTTAGCGAACTGCAGCACTGCATTGATCTTCTCATCATTGGCATCCATTGTTGTGATGAAAGCTTCATGGCGCTTAATCAGGTTCTCTGCTGCCTGAACTGATGTCTGCAAAATGGACAAAAAGTTCCAAAATAAGAGACATTTTTTGGGTATCTGTCCAAAATGTGAAATGGCTGGTCAAAAATACAAAGATCATTTGTTCTTGTCACATTCTATTTATGGACGCGAGACATGCACCCTGAAGATGCCAGAAGTATTTGAGTTTTCAAAACATGATGCAGTTCATTTTCGATTGCCAGGTTGGATTTCTTGAGATGATTAATGTAGTAGTTTTTGTTTGTCTCCCACATTTACATGGCTTTTGACTATAACCATAGCCTTTAGCAACTTTTTAAAATTAATTACTACCATATACTGTTCAAATCCACATTGAGTGGTAATTTTTTCAAACATTTTTTTACAAAAAATTACCTTGACTCGTAAGTGAACCCAGTCTACAATAGGTACCAGGTAAAGTCCTAGAAAGTAAAGGCAGCCAGTGTGATGCTGACATCACCCACTGAGTGCCGTTTGGTCTATAAAAAAAATAGGTGTCTAGCATCATATGCCAGGTGCACGATTGGCATGAAAAGGGTCCTTTACAACCATTTACCCAAAGTGCGTTCAGACAAGAGCACTACGCAGAAAGCTAAAAAGAAAGAAAAAAGAAGAAGAAGAAAAAAAAAACCAACACATAACTGGTGTCATCAGCAGCTATACAATGTAGGATTTGCTAAGGAGGGGACTTGAGAACTTAAGGACCAAATGGATTGACTTGCAGTGAGGACTTGACTTTCTACCCCACCAGGACATCACACAAGCGACAAACACCCGATGACACAAAGTGCCACCATGCGGATGAGGATCACTGTGGAGAGGTCCCAGAAACCGCGTTCAGACAATTGGCCATATTGATGAATTGGCCTATATTGCGGCCCCTGGCAAAAGCCAGAGTGGGGCTTCAAATAACAAAAAATTACGTCCTAAAAAGGACGTAAGGAAGCTAGAGTACTGCAGTGAGGATCATCTGTGGACTAATTATTAACTGACATTATACACCTTCATTAGATACAAATACAAGACTTGTATACATGTTTTATTAAAGAAATACTTTCTTTGTTTACACGTCTTTGTTTATAAATACATTCTTTGTAACACGTGTTATTTTTATAAACAAATATAAAGATGTCAACATATTTTTCAACACAAAAACACACAAAAACTTACAGAATCTTTTGAAAAATGAAATATTTGATCATTAGATAAAGAAATGGAGCCTTTCGCCTTAGGAGGCTGATGATCTCATAAACCTGTCTGCTGCAAATACTATAGATCCCAACAAGCCTAGTATTTATGAGGACTGGGTATCATTATATTTACCAATGGGGAAAAGGGGGAGGGGGAGCATTAAAATGCAAAACTTTTTGGCTTTCCTAGGCATTCAGGTGTAATAATTAGCCTTTAATGGCACATAGCCTTGCACTCGAAGCAGAAGTCACTACATACATGTTTTAGGTCCAAGCTGTTGCATTCCATTTATTATCCACTGAATCTGTGTTTATTAATTACTTTCTTTCATATATTTCTAAAACATTTTTTTTTGTTAATTAGTGACCCGTGTTTCAGGTCTGGAAGGTGGTTTGGGGGAAATCTCAGATTCATTATTTTTTATTTCTAAGGATTTCCAGGGTGAAAGGGTAAAGAATAAGCAATGAAATAATACATCTTATTACATGGTACAAGAAACTGGCAAAAAACATGCAAATGTACTCAACTTGTACAAATGACTATAACTGCAATAAAATATGAACTATGTGAAGACCAACGTAAATAACATTGGTGAAAAATCGAAAACAACATCAATATTCGACTAAATATGTCACTGTAAACACACAGCAGAGATGAATGAGAGAAAGTAACCAAGGGAGAATAAGGGAAATCACAAACAGAAAAAACAGAAAAGTGTGCATGCAATAATTAACTATAAAGTGGATCAAAATATAGTGCTAATACCAAGACAACTCTAAAAAGGTAAAGTTGAATCCAATTCATATTATTAAGAGCAGGGCTACTCAACTAAGTTTGTTCAGGGGCCAAATTTGTTAAATAGGGATCGTCAGGGGTCAGAGGATCGAGCCCCAGCGTAGAAATATCATAAGTACAATACAACTGGCAATGATCCACCGGCCTCTTGTTAGAACTCCGCAGGCCAGACTTGGCCCATGGGTGGCCAGTTGATTAATTAGCCTTGCTTCAAGACAACTTTAAATTTAAGGTAGGTTCTCCGTACTATTGCCGACAAGACAACTTTAAATTTAAGGTAGGTTCTCCGTACTATTGCCGACAAGACAACTTTAAATTTAAGGTAGGTTCTTCGTACTGTTGCCGACAAGACAACTTTAAATTTAAGGTAGGTTCTTCGTACTATTGCCGACAAGACAACTTTAAATTTAAGGTAGGTTCTCTGTACTATTGCCGACAAGGCAACTTTAAATATAAGGTAGGTTCTCCGTACTATTGCCGACAAGGCAACTTTAAATATAAGGTAGGCTCTCCGTACTATTGCCGACAAGGCAACTTTAAATATAAGGTAGGCTCTCCGCACAATTGCCGACAAGACAACTTTAAATATAAGGTCAGCTTTCCATACTATTGCTGACAGGACTACTTTAAATATAAGGTAGGCTCTCCGTACTATTTGACGACAAGACAACTTTAAATATAAGGTACGCTCTCTGTACTATTGCAGACAAGACAACTTTAAATATATGGTCATCTCTCCATATTATTGCTGCCAAGACAACTTTGAATATGTCTTAAAAGCTCTTCGCATATGTAGTATTTATCACCCACTGGTGTATTGACCCTGATTAATCTCACGTCATCCTATATTTTTTCATCTTCTGCAGATCCTTCTATGTCCCCTTTCTGTTCATCCACCCTTTTTTTCTTCTGTTTTTTAGGTATCCCTGTACTTTTTTGGTCCTGTGGGTACATGAGAAATGACTTTACTCTTTCTTCTCATTAATTTGTTTAGTTCTCTACTACATAAGCTTCTCATCAATGACTCTGTCATACCATCACATTCCTTATACTATGTGTGGGCACAAGTTAACTCTTTCGGTCCTAAGGATCGCATAATACTTTCATAGGTTCCTACCTAGAAGTCCAATGAATGCCAGATGCACAGATTTTACATCTATCTTTAATATCCCTTGGGCCTCTGACACTAAACCCCTGGGTCTGAAAGAATTAATCCCTGTAGTTTATTAGTCATGTTTTTGATCCATACAGTAGTACTGATTTGATATTAGAGAAAACTTCAAAACTGCATTATCCTTTGTGTTTACAAACTGTTCAATCGTTTTAAAATTCATTAATTTTGAATATTACAAATCTCAACCTATGATAATTAACAAAGAAACAAAGAGGATGGTAACATGAAAATCAGAGCAAAGCACAGAGATACTGGAAAACACAACAAGTCTGTTCTATCTGATGATGTGTACAGATTCTAAAATGAAACAGAAAGCAGAAAACAATACTAAGAATGTAGAAACAAAAACACATGAATACCAAAAAAGTGCACAGATCAAATAAAAGTGACAAGAAAACTGGACACTAAAATACTGTGGGTACAGCACATGAACATGTAACTACATATTTTATCAGAAAATCGACAATGATTAAATGAAGTCCATGTAATTAGCCATCATTAACTACCGCCATGAAATATGGTTTTATACCAACATGTAACAAGTAAGGTGCTATTCTTCTTATAGTTCATGTTGTGTGATGTTGGGCACCATGTCTGTTTTTTTATAGTGCATGGCATGATACTGCAATCTGCCGACTGAATTTGCAATGCTTTTCAGCTGTGTCCCACATGGTTTCTGTTGTCCACTGCAGGTTCAGAAAATGGTGAGTGGCATGTTGCCAAAGAATTTGTGGTGCCTTATGCATTTAACTGCCAGTGCAACTACTGATCTGTTGTAAGTACTACTTCCAACGATCATGAACTGCATTTCTAGTGTCTAACTGTTTTTGTTGGCACTTCTGATGGCTGCCTTATGCATTTAATGAGTGTGTATACTGTTGGCTTTGCTGAGACTACAGCCTGTATCATTTTGTTTCCAAAGGGATAGTGATATACATTTTATGTGGTTTTGTTGGCACAGGAACATAGCAACTTTGAGGTGACAGGCTTGCCATGAAGTCAAATTTTTTTTTTACAAAGGACAGCAATAGACATTTTATGTTGTTTTCATTGGCACAAGAACCAAGCAACTATGGGGTGAAATGTTTGCTATGAAGTCAATTTTTTCACAAGGGATAGTGACAGATACTGTTGGCACTGGAACAATGCAACTATGGGGTGACCCCTTTGCTAAGAAGTCAATTTTTCTACAAGGGATAGTGACAGACAATGTTGGCATAGGAACAGAGCAACTATGGGCTGACCCATTTGGTATGAAGTCAATTATTTTACAAAGGATAGTGATGGAAATTCTGTGTGGTTTTTGTTGGCATAGGAACCACCTAAGAAGTCATCTGACACCCAAAATGGCTACGTTCTACCCTGCAGAGCTAAGTGGGTAGGAACCTAACTATGTGTATACCTGTCTGTTTCTTACTCTCCATGATGCTACCTGAAGGTCTGACCACCCCTGCTACTTTCAGCATCACATCCTGGAAGGCAAACCCACAGGACAAATTTCAGCACCCAGCTATGTTATAATTAGGGTACCCAACTCCAGTGACATTATTTGATTTTATCTTTTGATATATTGTTTGTCAATAAACATCCTCCCCTGCCAATTACATAATATTGTTAACAATGAATTTTAAAAAGATTTCAGTTTATTATCTGTATCAGTGCAATACGGGAAAACTCATAACAGAGGAAATAGGTGTGTGTATGTGTGTGGAGTTTAAAACATTCAAACACCATTGTCTGAATCAATTTGTTCTATTCTTCTCTTACTTTTAAAGTAGATTTCCACATCTATATGGTTACATTTTCCCCAGCTATGTGGTTACCTTGTCCACATCCCCACGGTTACATTTTCCACATCTATATTGTCACATTTTCCACATCAATGTGGTTACATTTTCCAAATCCATGTGGTTACATTTTCCACATCTGCATACACACGGTTACATTTTCCACATCTATATGGTTAAATTTTCCATATCTATGTGGTTACATTTTTAATTTCATGTGGTTACATTTTCCACATTAATGTGGTTGCATCTTCCACACCCATGTGGTTATCTTTTCCACATACATGTATTTACATTTTCCATATCTTCATGGTTACATTTTCCACATCTATATGGTTATATTTTCCACACCCATGTGGTTACCTTTTCCAAATCTGTGTGGTTATAATTTCCAAATCTACATGGTTATAATTTCCAAATTGAAGTGGTTACATTTTTAAATCTATGTGGTTAACTTCTGCACATTTCAGTCTCAACAGTCATTTACTATTAGTTTCAACTCCAGTTCTTGTACAAACAATAATCAGATCAACAATTTGTTTAGAATTATTCCAACCACCATATACACGATTAATCATCGTTTTAGTACAGCTAATTTAAATACAAATAAAAAGTGAGAAATTACTGCCCAAACAAACACTGATACTCACCGGAACATCTTCCTTGGACAAGAAATTGTCTTGTTGACTAAGAAGAACTTCTGCTTGTTTGGCATCTCGCAAGAACATCTGAGAATACATTTTAACTTTTTCAAATATAGTATGTGTATGTGAGTGTGTGCGTTTTCACACATGTGTGTGTGTGTTTGTGTGCGTCTATGTATGAGGGGCTTAAAATGACAATCTTAACAGTGTCACAGAAATTACAATAACCATGTCAATGTCTTGTATCCTGTCAATACTGCTGTTAAGGATGTCAAGAGTGTCAAGCACATGACATGACATTACAGAGAAAGCCTCCCTCTTATATATGTAAGCATATAGAGTAAAACCTCGTTAACATGAACTTGTCTTAGAAGCACTCAGTTAAACATTAACACAAAATTTTGGTCCCATCAGGGATTCATTATTATTAATACCCAGGTGGCAACAATATTTTGTAAAAATGAACACTTGATTGTTCGTTTCCTTGGATTCCTTGTTATAGATGTACATGTAATGTTAGTACACGTAAAATGATAAGGGATACCACAGGCAGAAAAGCAGCAAATTGGCAGCAATGAAGATCAATTGTGAATGCCTTATCTGTCAACAGCGACAGAAAAAGGACATAGACAGACTAGGGAACAACTTTCAAGATTTTCATTCAGGAGTTATATGTCCATGTACAGAGAGGTACTGCTCAAGCACAACCACCCTCCCTAGAGCCACTGAGTTGTGCAGCACTTATGATTGGCTGTACCTGTCAGGTTAGTTTAGGATGATAATATAAATCCATGATAAGACAAAGTGCTTGGGGATTTAAGGGGGGGGGGGGGTAAGGGATTCAGAGTGGCAAAGTGGCTTGTGCAGATCTTGCTTGATTGATAGGATGGACTGGAATTTTACAAAATAAGAAAAGGATGGTACAAGTGGAAAGCAAAAACAGCATGGAGGGGGAAAAGATTCAAATATATATCAGAAAGCTTATCCATAAGTAAATATTTATAGCATATGGCTCAGATATAATACACTCACCTGGATCCTTACTGATTAGAGTTGGTGCACTATGAGGAGGCTTTCTTTATATAATCTACGGCAGGTTGGGGTACTTAAACTGATCTGTTACACAGACAATTTACTGGTAATGTAAGGGAAGATGGCTGTTTCAGCAGATGTTTATTGAAATGCAGATGTTTAAAACTGACACAAGTGAATGTCTTCTATCTTTAGGGTTCACTAATTGTAAACTCTGGCAGAAAGTTCTAGTTGTTCGCCCACTTTTGGATTCTAGTATCGTTCCAGAACTTGAGTTCTACAGGCAAATCCATCTTACAGATCTTGCTTATTTGTATGCAGACTGTTGGTTCCTCATTTTTCACAGACACATTTTGGGGCATATACAGAGGAATGCCAGATAACAGAAAGAGAGAAACTGTATTCAAAAGAGTTCGTGGGGATAGACCACATGGCAGACCAAGAAGATGATGGACAGATAATATACAGGCAGACCTACAAACACTTGCAGTCACCAAGTGGAAAGAGAAGGCCAGTTGGAGAGATGTGTGGAGGCAAGTAATATCAACAGCAGTCAACTTCAAGGGCTTAGAATGCTGAAGAAGAAGAAGGTATAAATAAAGCGTGACAGTCAGACAATCTAAAGCAAGCCATCTTTACTTCCCAGGACTTTATATTGTTACCCATTTAAGGCTGAGTCAACCTGGAAGCCAAGGTCTTGCATAAAAACAAATCTGGCTCCATGCAGATTTGAACCCATGACCTTCGGATCCACATGCAAGCATCTAGCCACCACATCATGGCAGCTCCCAGTCAGAGGAGTGACCAAGTATAAATGAGATGTTTATTCCTGCAGACATCTAAGCATAAATGTGACATCTATACCTGCAGACATCTAAGCATAAATGTGACATCTATACCTGCGGACATCTAAGCATAAATGTGACATCTATACCTGCAGACATCTAAGCATAAATGTGACATCTATACCTGCAGACATCTAAGCATAAATGTGACATCTATACCTGCAGACTAAGAGACTGGGACAACAGCTGCTGTCTGTTCTCCCACATCTGCAGAAGCTCATGCCAACCATCATCAAGTGCTTGTAGTCTCTGTAAATGACAATATAAACAGTATATTTGAAACCTGTTAATGCAGTTCACACAGTCAGAAAGTACTTTATTTATCACCAAATCTGTAGAGCATTCTTCTCTAGTCCTATTCTGAATTTCGGTGTCAAGTTTTAAAGAGGCATTGGATGTGAGCTTTGCTATGTGCTACGTAGATGTTGACTTGGCTTCCACTGGTGTCTCTTAGACAGTAGTTTTACCTTGACATATATTTGGGACAGTTTTGTATGACATAATCTTGTCTCAGGTGCCAATCCACATGTGCGAATGGCTGATTAAACATCGCAATTCCTAAATATTATGTATATGTGGCTGGGAAGTCGACTGTGCCGTGTTCTAAGGCTCATAATGATAATGTCTTGCTCTGGTCTGTCCGTAATAGAGTACTCATCTTGTGCTGATTTTGGTGGCTTTCTGATCTGATTCGACTATTCTTTTCTTCTGATCATATGATATTATGATTTGAAAATAAAATATGTTTTAGGCATGCAAAATTACACAGGGTCTTGCTAAAATGTAAACTCAGTGGAAAGACAGATGGCAGTAAAAAAAGTAAAGGACCCTTTTCCCCGCCTTTAGGGGTATAGGGCATATAGGGCTAGACCTATATTTTATAGACCAACCAGCACAATATGGGTGATGTGGTCAGCATCATGCTAGCCGCCTTTCTTTCCCAGGACTGCACCCGGTACCCACTCAAGGCTGGGTCAACCTGGGAGCCAAGGACATTTTTTAAAGAAGTCAGGCTCGGCCAGGGAGCGAAACCCCGACCTTCTGCTCCGCCACGGCGACTCCCCAGATGGCAGTGGTGAAATAGAAGAGAAGGCTACATGTAAACAGGAAAAGATGGGTCCCACACAGGGTCTCAGAAGCAGCCAACATGGGGATACAGAACTCGCTGGAAATACACTGTAACTAGCCCATCACTGTAATGATGACAACTGAATGTTTTCTTGTCTTTAGCGTTCACTGCCTGCAAAGAAAGTTCTAGTTGTTTGCCCACTTCTGGATTCTAGTATCGTTTCAGAACTTGACTTCTGCACACAAATCCATCTTACAGATCTTGCTTTTTTGTATGCAGAATGTTGCTCATTTCTCAGGCACTCCAATTTTGAAGGATTTCATTGTAATGAACAATATAACTCATATATAACGCATATAACTTCTGATGCTTTCAGTTTAAAAACACACTCATTCACTGAAACCATATTTTTCTCTGATTCTCTCTCTCAGACCTCAAACTAAACGGGACTGAACAAGCAGGTCACCTGTCTAAGGAACATATACTGGGGATCCTCTTCTCCTTCTGTGACTTTATCCCCAAATTCCTTGATCTTGGCGTACTCTGGAGCATAGGTGTCGATCTCATCACGCAACTGCTGGTGTTGGTTGAGCAGCTTTTCAGCGTCAGCCAGTGAGTTGGGGATGTCTTCAGAGGCAACTGTGGTCTGGGTGCGAGACAGCCAGGATTGGAAGTGATCTAGGCTGCCCAGGAAGCGCTGCAGTTCTCCGGCTTCTCCCAGCTTCTCATCACGTTCTTTCAACTGTGGGTGTAGACAGTGTTGTTAGAGAATGTTCAGTAAAACGGCTTAAGAAACATTACTGTCTTAAACACAATAAGTGCTCAACATAATGAACATTTTTACCAAAAAATGTTAGCGACAGTTACAACTCTTTAGCTATAATTTCCAAAAGGCTTTATGGACTGAAATGTAAAACAACCTGTCCTTGCTCTTGCTGTAAAGTATCGACAGACAGGGTTGTCATGCGTCTTTTTGATTAAAAAAATAAACATGTCTTTGAAACTCTGGTTCTAATTTAAGTTTCAAGTCTGGAGAAATAACAGTGCAACAAATGAGCGTACTATTAAGACACAAAACACATGTGGTGACAACCCCCCCCCCCCCCCCACCCACCTTCCCCACACTTTCTAAGACAAATCTAAAGAGATTAGCAGTATGACTTCTACTACAGGACTTACCATTTCTTTAAGGTCCAGCCAGACATTGTTTATTTCTGCAATCTTATCCTTGATAGCCTGGGCTTCCTCTGGTTTCTGATCCTCAAGTTTTTCTGCCTCATTCTGTAGTGATTCAAGCTAAAGGACAGAGACAACACATAACATTCAGTAAAGTCATGTATCAGTTATAGATCTCACTTCTGGCAAATATATGACAAACCCAACTGAAGCTCAGTACCACACAAGTTGCCACCAGTGAACAGATTAAGGATGTATACCAAAGTCCCACTGTATACCATTTGGTTCATGGATGTAACATATTTTTCTTCTTCTTTCATATCCATGGGTGGTATTAACACTGGAGATAAGGAGTCCATGCTATGAGCATTGTTTTCAGCAAGCAGCGAGCCACTCCGCCCAGAGAGACAGCGCTGGATAGGATACATCTGTGTGCAGTTAAATAAACTATCACAGTTAAGTTAAAGTTCCTGGAGTGCTGGACATCACAGAACTCAGAACATTTCCATAAACACTCCGTCCTCATCTTCAGCAGCCAGCGAAAAGTTCCAATTCTGATGATATCAGTAGCAGTTTGATTATATGTCCATCTTGCCTTTTCTCCGAATGTAGAGTGTTGACCAGATCCCCAGGTCACTCCTAGCTGTACCATTATCTCCAGACCATAATGATCTATTCCTGCCTGTGCATTGTAGTTAACGGATTCAACACAAAATGTCCCTACACAAAATGCACAGAATAATTGCAGCCATTATGTCAGTAATAAAGGGTGAGATGCTATGTGGCAGTTACCTTAGCCTGAATGGCAGCAAGATCCCTTTCCATGGTGCTAAGTCTTCGCTGCAGAGTCATCACCCCAGCCAGGTCATTGCCCAGCTCATCTGTGGATTCTATCAGTTTGGCCTTCTCGTGGATCCAGCCCTGTCAAAATGAGGAGTATGCTCACAATCTGTATCAACATAAAACAGCACACCAAACTTCATAACGGATCCATACAATCTACAGATCTCAACATGTGTTTACAGACAGCTTGTTCCACATTAGACGTAGATGGTCTGTGTTGTCTGGACATGTTATGAGAAAGAATGGGATCGAGAACTTGCTGACAGCTGGCATGTTTGACGGAAAGAGAGCAAGGGGAAGGCAACAAGATAAAAACCTGGATGGCTTGGCCATAAGAATGGGGGCAAACAAGATCATTGATCTGACCCGCGATTCTGGAGATTGTGTGAGGTGGCAAAACATGACCACCTAAGCTTATAAGCAGAAGGCATGATGATGATGATGATGATGTTTAATATTATGAGCAGCAGTGTGGTAGAATGGTAGTACATCTGTCTGCTACATGTCACGTCCTGGGTTTGATCCGCTTTAAAGTTTTCTCTGGCTCTAGTTCAATCAATCATGAGACAGAGGCAAGCGCAAATCAGCTGTATGTGTGTGTGGGTGATAATTATACTGGGAGCTAAGTCTGTCTAAGCTACACATAAACTGAAGGACTCTCTTCACGCCTTCAGGCATATTGGGAATACAGGGCTGGACCTGTATTTTATAGACCAATCGACACTAGCTGGGTGATGTGGTCAGCATCGTGCCAGCCACCTTTACTTCCCAGGACTTTACCTGGTACTCATGTGAGGCCAGGTCAACCTGGGAGCCAAGATCATTTGTATAGTTTAAAAAAAATGTTGGGCACCATCAGGACCTGAACCCATGACCTTTGATCCGCAGGCAAGAATCTAGCCACTACAATGCTGGGACTACCCATGGATGGCAACTCCCTACGGATAAAGACAGAATTGTGATTAATTAACTTCACAGAACTGTGATTAATTAACTTCAGAGTAAGACAGAATGATGATTAATTAACTTCAGAAAAAGACAGATTTATGATTAATTAACTCCAGAATAAGACAGACATGAATAATTAACTCCAGAATAAGACAGAATTATGATTAATTAACTCCAGAATAAGACAGACTTACAAGTGTCTAACTACTGATAAGCAAAGAAAGACTTACAATTGTTTCATTACACTCAATGTTAAAGTTCTGGAAATCATGAGCAACTGTAATATCATCTCTCTTCTGGTCAGCCATTTCTCGAAGCTTATTCCAACTGGACAAATAAATACAAAACACAAATTATGACAAGGAAATATGAACAGCCCTTTCCCCCCTCCCCTTCTCCCAAATACCTACTACCATGTTTACTGCCAGTGTCTATTTCTTCTTCTTAGCATTCACGGGCTGTAAACTCCAGCAGAATGTTCCAGTTGTTCGTCCACTTTTTGGATTTTGTTGTGTGCATATCTGTTTTACAGACTTATATGTATGAAGACTGTTGGTTCCTTGCCTCTCAGGCAGGTGCACTCCAACTTTTGAGGAAGCCAGCAATAAAAAAAAATATTATGGCATCATTGGGGGGGGGGGGGGGGGGGCGGGTGTCTTGTCTATTTTTGTTGCCCCTACAAGGAGGTCCAGGAACCAACACATGGGGATGCAGTAAGAATGAATAACTGTCACTTTACTTCAAATCTGATAGGCTCCATCTGAACTATCTGCAATGGTCTTATGTACTCTCTACACTTGTTTTTCTTCTTCTGTCCTCAAAAGAGAGGATGACATGCTGTGCAGTGGTTTACAACTAGGCTGCAATATCTGTGATTTTTAGCCAAGCAGCTCCCATTCCAGCAAATAATTAGGTGGCTTTCACATCAAGACATGCTGGTTAAAAGGTGTATAGGTCAATTTGTCCCCTAGCAGACTGAACCCACCATATGCGATATCTTCTCATGACCTAAAATCAATCATATTTTATCCTCTAGTTAACTCACGGCTGCCAAATACCTGTAAGCCAAACAAAAACAATTTCTGGACTGAATATCATTAAATGAAGCCAAGCTAATAAACTTACGTGGCATTCAGCTGGTTCTGTCGCTCCACAACTTCTTCAGCGTTCGGGTGTTCAGCCTGCATCAGCTGGCGAGCCAATTGGTTCACAACAGCCACTTTTGAAGCTGTAGCATTCATTTCATGTTCGAAACTTTCGAAACGGTGCTTCATAATGGCCAGCTCTTCAACATCATCGGTGACAATAATGGTGGACAAAAATTTCTCCTGAAATTAAACAGGGAAACGTGGGTACACAACAGGAAAAGAGACAGAGGGAGTTTGAGAAAGCAGATGCTGGACAGTTTGATATTATAGTATCGAAGAAGATCTATTTCAGAAGTCTGATTAAATGTACAAGAGACAGAAAGCTGTAGGTTGAAATAACTACCAACGCCACACGGCAAGTACTAAAGATCAAGAAGAAAAAGCGGTATGGTAATAGTACTGAGAAGGTGATTATGTATTTGATTCGCCCTCATGGCAGGGGATCTTTTGAGCCGGTCTGAACTAGGTACTAAGGTATGTCCTGGGAGGTATAGGCAGCCAGCATGATACTAACACACAACCCATAATGGCAAATGGTCTATACAAATATGTGATAAGGACCGTACACCCAGTATGTCTCAGGAAATGGAAAAGGATAAATTTACTTTACCAGTCACTAAAAATCTGTTTTGTAGAGTTTTGGGAGACACTCCAAGATTGTGAAAGTTAAGCTAAGAAACGACATTAAAGTACTTGGGACATTCCCACAAGCGCTCCGTGCCCATCTTCAGCAGCAAGCGTAAATATTCAATTCTGCTGGGACCAGTAACAGTCCGATTGTACATCGGTTTCACCTTGTCCTTGAGTGCTGAGCGTTGGCCAGATCCACTGGTCACTCCTCATCATGACAACCTATTTGTGCCTCCTCACTGTTCATTCATTCTCAAAGAACCTTGACCACATCCAGCTTGCCATGCATCAGTTCACTACCTAGTGGCAAAGAACCAGCCAGTCTTTCTGCATGTCTGTTTCCCAACACACTGGCATTGCCTGAAAAAAATATGCAAAGAAACCTAACTACGCAGGACCCCTGAAGAAATGCTTGCCACTCTGCATGGAGCATAAATGTCTTCATCTTTATCAACAAGCTCTGTGGGAAGACTTCAAGATTTGTTTGTACAGTAAACTGGGCATCCTAGGTGTATGCTCCCACACTTAAGCAGTGGAGGGGTCATCACTGTATATCATTCATCCCTGTTCTGTAATGCCATTACATGTCATGATATCATGGATGGAACAGTCCAGTACCTTGTTTGCCTCTCATCAACATTCATTTCAGGGTTTCTTTTGGATGTTGTCGCTTTCTCAATCCCTTTATTTTCCATTTGGTGGCAACATAAATAAAATAAGCCCACAGTCCAGTTGTCTGCTGCAGAGAGTCTTGCCTTGTCTATGCAATGTCAAAACAACTCAATTGTTTTCTTCCCTGCACTGCTCAGACCTTGCAATGAGCTGTTGTGGTGCAAATTCTCAACTGGTTACTTTTTATGATACACTTTTCCCTTGGCCTCCTGTCCCATTTCCCCCCCCCCCCCTTTCCCCATATGAGCCCCCAGAACCCATACAACGAACACCAATACTCTAAATGAAGGAACAATAAAACCACAAACCTTCTCATCAATCCAAGTCTCTACTCCATCAGATTCATTGAAGAGTTTGTACAGTGAAAGGGCATCAATAAGTCGCTGCTTGTGCAGCTTGGAGAACTCCAAGAGTTCCTGGTAATGGCGGTCAATAGAGTTCAGCCGAGCCTGGACATCTGGCGACTCCCGATCCTGCAAAATGTGATATGCCGGCTAGAGACATCAATAAAAGTACCGTTTATCACAAAGTGAATATCATATTCATTATAGCCTTTGTTTTCTTCTTCTGCCCTTTATCCCCCAAACTATGTCAAGTTGTTCTGTCTCTTGCTGTCGTGTATGGCTCTCTTCCATGGTCCATAACATTTTGTTCCCAGAAAACCACCTCAACACCTGAATCATGAAAGAATTTTTTAATGTTATAAAAAAAAAAAAAAAATTTCAAACAAATAACGTAAAATTCTCTGACTCACAGCTACATAAAAATATGGATCCTCTATTCTACCGAGGCTGGTCTTCTCTCAGACATCTCCTCCCTATAGCTTGCTGCAACTGAGTGCTCATCTAATCATAAATCAAGCATGTGAGCACACAGACAAACCTGCCAGCCCCAATTTCATTCATTTAATGTCCCAGCCCCAATTTCATTCATTCAATGTCCCAGCCCCAATTTCATTCATTCAATGTCCCAGCCCCAATTTCATTCATTCAATGTCCCAGCCCCAATTTCATTCATTCAATGTCCCAGCCCCAATTTCATTCATTCAATGTCCCAGCCCTGATTTCATTCATTCAATGTCCCAGCCCCAATTTCATTCATTCAATGTCCCAGCCCCAATTTCATTCATTCAATGTCCCAGCCCCGATTTCATTCATTCAATGTCCCAGCCCCAATTTCATTCATTCAATGTCCCAGCCCCAATTTCATTCATTCAATGTTCCAGCCCCGATTTCATTCATTCAATGTCCCAGCCCCAATTTAATTCATTCAATGTCCCAGCCCCGATTTCATTCATTCAATGTCCCCAGAAGGTATGTGAATACATTTTTGTTGGCTTTTTTCCTTAAAAGACCTCAAGATAAGTTTATTGCCTGTAAAAAATAAGAGGAAGAGAGAAGGGCAGCTAAGATCAAACTTACCTGCTCTCCCAGATTTGCTGCTTGTTCATGCAGACTTTCAATGACAGACTGGTAGCTTTTGAGCTCTTCTGTAACTTCCTGTATAAGAAAAAAAAGTGTAACAACTGACAAAAAGTATCACAGTAAATGTAGTGGACCCACTGACAAAAAGTATCACAGTAAATGTAGTGGACCCACTGACAAAAAGTATCACAGTAAATGTAGTGGACCCACTGACAAAAAGTATCACAGTAAATGTAGTGGACCCACTGACAAAAAGTATCACAGTAAATGTAGTGGACCCACTGACAAAAAGTATCACAGTAAATGTAGTGGACCCACTGACAAAAAGTATCACAGTAAATGTAGTGGACCCACTGACAAAAAGTATCACAGTAAATGTAGTGGACCCACTGACAAAAAGTATCACAGTAAATGTAGTGTACCCACTGACAAAAAAGTATCACAGTAAATGTAGTGGACCCACTGACAAAAAGTATCACAGTAAATGTAGTGGACCCACTGACAAAAAGTATCACAGTAAATGTAGTGTACCCACTGACAAAAAAGTATCACAGTAAATGTGTGTAACCACTGACAAAAAGTATCACAGTAAATGTAGTGGACCCACTGACTAAAAGTATCACAGTATATGTAGTGGACCCACTGACAAAAAGTATCACAGTAAATGTAGTGGACCCACTGACAAAAAGTATCACAGTAAATGTAGTGGACCCACTGACAAAAAGTATCACAGTAAATGTAGTGGACCCACTGACAAAAAGTATCACAGTAAATGTAGTGGACCCACTGACAAAAAGTATCACAGTAAATGTAGTGGACCCACTGACAAAAAGTTTCACAGTAAATGTAGTGGACCCACTGACAAAAAGTATCACAGTAAATGTAGTGGACCCACTGACAAAAAGTATCACAGTAAATGTAGTGTACCCACTGACAAAAAGTTTCACAGTAAATAGAGTGGACCCAGTGACAAAAAGTATCACAGTAAATGTAGTGGACCCACTGACAAAAAGTATCACAGTAAATGTAGTGGACCCACTGACAAAAAGTATCACAGTAAATGTAGTGGACCCACTGACAAAAAGTATCACAGTAAATGTAGTGGACCCACTGACAAAAAGTATCACAGTAAATGTAGTGGACCCACTGACAAAAAGTATCACAGTAAATGTAGTGTAACCACTGACAAAAAGTACCACAGTAAATGTAGTGGACATTTTTATTCTAATTTTTTTTTTTTTTTCAATTTTAACGTATGCCAGTGAAAGCTGGAGAACCACTTAAACCACACAATGAAAGTTAAAAGCATTTGAAAATATATCTTTCAGTAAAATTCTGAACATAAAATAGGATGATTTCAAGAGGGGTGAAAAAATAAGACAAATGTCTGAACAATCACTTGTAACAACAGTTACAAGAAAAAGAAGATGGCACTATACTGGACAGATGCTAAGAAAAAACAAGCAGAGAATGACCAAACAGGCACTAAAATAGGAAATAAAGGGACTAAGGAAGGGACGGCATCCAAAAGAAACCCTAAAAATTAACACTGATAACAATTGGCCAAACGTGCTGGACTGAATTCGATCAATGAAACTGAGGCATAGGATCCAACGAAATAAAGGATTTTTTTTTTTTTTTTAAATATCCAGAAACCAAGAGCTGTTAACTCTTTGGCTTGGTACTATGGATATCACAACCCTTCGGCCTTGTTTCCATGACAGATACCGTAAATTTTGAGGAAAAATGGCTTTTCTGCGTAACCCTGCCCGGACCACAAGGAGTTCGTCACCAGGTCGCCGCGCAGTTAGGTTTAACCAACTGAGCTAGCCAGTTGGGCAAATAGAGGAATAGACTGCGAACTCTATGTAACATATAATGGAACAACAAGACAACGATGATGATGAATGAAGGAAAGCTCTATGATAATAGTGAAAATATGGTCATGTGTCTGAATCCCTGGTAAAAGTCGTAGGCCTCATTCAGCCTTTTCTCCCTGTGCTGGTTCTGGGGCCCCATTTTCGGCAGAAAAGAACAAATCTGTGTAAAAGATTAATAATTAATCAGGTGTGTTGGGTTAAACAGCGAATAAATAGCAGCCTAGATGTCAACACCAACATAATGCTCCAGCTTTCCTTTAACTCTTTCAGTCCTTGGGGGTTGAGCAGCAGTGGCCCAAAGGGCAGTAAAGAGGGACGTAAAATTGGGGCATCTATCATTCATTGAGCTTCTAGGTAGGAAGCAATGATGCGTTCCTTGGGACTGAAAGAGTTAAAGGGAAACTAGAGGAGGAGTAGGAGAAGGAGGAGGAGAGGTAGGAGAAGAAGGAAAAGGAGGAGGAGGTGAAGAAGAGACTGAAAGAGGAGGAGGAGAAGGAGGTGAAGAAGAATCCCCTTTATAAAAAAAATATTTTTGTTAATGTACCCAGAGTACTTCTTGAATTACCCAGCCTAACATGGGTTGTCAGGACATGTCCTCAAGTCTGTCTGTTTTTCATATTTTCTGTGTAAAAAAAAACCAGTAAGTTAAATGCCAAGAACTGACCTTATGTTTCTTGAGCAGTGACTGCACACTGGCTTCATCTTTACCCACATCCTCACTGGACACGATACGCAGGGTATCCATCAGCCAAGTGTCCACATCATCTGCATCAGCGAAAAACTGAAACAGACCAACATCATATAAGTACCATATGTCACCCTCAATATGAGGACTTCTGACCAAAATGGCTGACGGCCAGCTGACTGTGGATACTCTGAAAAGTAATTATATTTGTCTTTACCTACCTGTGGGTGTAAATTTATGAGTATAATTCCAAGTCGGTTAATTTCCTAATCTGTCCAGCCTGTTTTACACAAAAATGTATTATTAACATATTTGGGGGGAGGGGGGGGGGGGGGTGTTTCTATATGCACATATATATATCCTCCTCTGGTGTACATGTGTGCGTGCGTGGATGAAAGCGTGAGTTGTTTTTTTTTTTAACAATAAAACTGCTGTTATGAGACTGTTGCATGCAGCACAAAATTCAAAATCTAAAAGCAAACATTTTCTCAAAAGGTGCACTTTTCCCAAAATTATTTGTTTCTGGTTTATTCAGAAACCATTCCTCCCTGTGTGTGGGTTCTAGGGCCCCAATGTGGGGGGGGGGGGGGGGGGGGGGGGGGGGGGGGGACAAGAATAGACCCACTGACTCCTCAAGAGCATGACGTAAGGGTCGACTAATTAGCAGCTTTCTTTGGAAACGGAGTGCAGCTACCTCAGGTAAGGAACCAACTTTTCATATCAAATGAGTCAGATCTATAAAACAGATATGCATGCAACACTAAGGTTCTGGAACAGGACTAGAGTCCAGAAGTTGCAGAACAAGCAGTACTTTCCGCTACAGTTTACAGCTAGTGAATACAAAGAAGAAGAAGAAAGCATTACTCTGTCCATGTCCAAAGATCCTTTTCATTTACCCCTAACAGGCTGGTTGGTAGGTTGTGTTATGGTTTACAGCTAGGCTGCAATATCTGCGACTTTTGGACCCAAAATGTCAGATTTTAGCAAACTCTGATCTGTCCCCTTTTCTGACATACATGTCAAGGGGCAGTGGGTCGATTCTTTTTTTCCCCCTCCTCTAAATTAGAGTCCTTGAACACATGCAAGGATCCCAAAGATCTTATATCCGTGATTTAAAGCTCATCTAATTTGTATTTAGTTCATATTTATCCTTCAATCTTTCCTTTCGACAACACCATTCTCTTGTACCTTGTTCTTAAACATTTTAGACATACAGTTATTCAAAACAATGTTTTATAGATTTGAACATCTAAATAATGTCACCACAAACAATTAAAAATGAACACTCTCGCTTTGTGTAAACAAAAAGAGCACTTGGAAAATTTGAAATTGTTACGGTAATAAAGCAATTCTGAATTTACAGCAGAGAGATATATAGATTAGATATTGTAAATTGCCTATATTGGTGAAAAGGATTCATTTGTGTGCTCCATTATATGCTGACGTAATTCTGTAGTAAGGCAGCTGAAATAATACAGTGAAATATGCCAAGTAATAAATTATAATTTTTATTGTTTGCTTACGCTTAATTTAAACACAAATTTATGTCATACTTTACCTGGTAAAAGTCAACAGCCTCATTGAGCCTTTTCTTGCGGTAGGTAGCCAAATCTATCAGACTCTCCCACTGAGCGGAAATTTCTTTGTTCCTCTGCTCGATCTGGTCAGCCCCAAAGTTACCGGCAGCAATAAGTTCATTACTAGCAGCTTGTACTTCTTGGAGGTGAGTGTGGCGATGGGCCATTTCATCCTCCATGGCCTGGTGCGGATAAGAATTTGGATAAATGACAAATCAACAAGATACTGTATTTTTCCATGTACAAGACTACATATTTTCCCAGATTTCTATCAGTTTAAAATCATGGGTCGTCTTATACACAGATTGTGTTAAAGAAATGTATTTCTAAATTCTGGGCTAAAAAATAGGGGGTGCCTTATACATAGGGGTGTCTTATACATGAGGGTGTCTTATACATTAGGGTATCTTATTCATGGGGGTGTCTAAAAGGTATAAAAATAAAATATTGTAACTGTTACTTATTACTGATTACTGAAGTGTGTGTGGGTGTGCGTGCATGTGTGTGTGGGTGTGCGTGCGTGTGTGTTTGTGTGTGTCCTCTCCCTAATGAATGTTGGCTGCAGTGCATTAACTGCTGTCTTTGGGAACATTAAATGGGGAGACCCCAAACTCTTCTGTAAGTCAACTTTCATATGACTGCTGGAAAGCCGAGAATGGTCTTTTCACTGCAGGAGTACAAAGAACCTGGCTAAAACAGTTACAGTTAAATTCAAAAGCATCACCTTCACTGCAACGGGTTTTATCACATGTGGCCCAGTCTCTCGCCGCAGAATGACTGGTTGCCTGCCAAGATAATCGCACAAAGCACGAAAACCGTAGCTCCAGCAACAGTCCCCAGTTATCTCCATAAAAACTGTACTCATGAACCGAATGATGCGTCCGAGAAATGAACCCAGACCTTCAAAGCAACAGGCAAACGGCCTGACCACTGCGGGAGGCCAATGGCTTGAACACTTTACCATGGAGATATACTAATAACAGTTCTTCACTCTACATACATCTTAACATTGACTGATTACTTCTTCTTCTTGGCATTCACTGGCTGTAAACTCTGGTAAAAAGTTCTGGCTGCTCATCCACTTCTGGACTTTGGTCTTGTTGCAGGACTTGAGTTTTGCATTTATATCTGGTTTATTTGTATACAGACTGTTGGTTTCTTGGTAACATCTTTACTCTGCAGTCAACAGCTGAACCATCTGTCTCCCATGTGTTTCTGACAGATCCCAATTTTGTTGTGGCTGCTGAGAACACTGCCTTATCTTTGGTATGGATCTGATGTGGTGTGTGGTCCTGTTTGATTACAGTTAAATCTGATGAGAATTCTTCAGCATGTGGTGTGATGACCACAGATTTATTTTGTCTGGTGCTGTCACTAGGTGAGGATTTTATTTCTTGAATGCTTCAGATCTCCTTTACAGAGTTTACAGATGCTGATTTTAGCTTACTAACTACACCTTTTCTCATTTCTTTACTTTATGGCTTTGAACGAGATGTAGTAGATGGTTTCACTTTGTACTTAAACTCAGCAAATAAGCTGCTGGCAGAGTGAAATGACAAGAACATCTTGATTATTGTTAAACCTTTGTAATGCTACAATTCACCACTCTCAATAATGATAAATTACAAACTGGTTACCTTCCCCTGGTTTAGTCTACCTTCAAATAATGTACAGCAGCATGTGGATGAAAGAATCACTAATCCTGAGTTTAGGTTCCAGAATCAATAAGTGAGGAGAAGATGCTGACATTGGGTAGGACACTAAATAAGAAAAACTGTTTACAGGATAACTAAAAAGTATTTTTCCGGAAACCTACAGACCCTGATTCCTGATAGGCAGCTGGTGAAGAAAGCGATGACAGGCAGAAAGAACACTGCTCTTTGTATCTAGCAGCTTTTGTAGCAAGCTTTATTCCAAGTGTATCTGTATTATCGTTCCTCTGGGGTTAACAAAAACAGGTCAATTCGAGTTATTATGCTGGAGAGATAACCCATGGTCTTTACAATACTGCCTAGGCTTTTTTGCTAAGGAAAGGAGGAACTTCATCTCTGGCCTTAATTGATACCGCCATGGGCCGATTCCCATGCCTCCCTATGGCACAATAGAACACTATCATGAGGAAAGTCAGAAAGGTGGCAACAACAGGGTAAAAGAAACAGAAGGAAACCTTAAACACAGAGAGAAGATAAATGGCCAGAGATGAATAATATGGGGAGGGCATGGGGTGAGCTGACAGATAGGTTGAGAGACAGGATGGCTTGGCATGAGTTGGTAGAGAGACAGGATGGCTTGGCATGAGTTGGTTGAGAGACAGGATGGCTTGGCATGAGTTGGTTGAGAGACAGGATGGCTTGGCATGAGTTGGTTGAGAGACAGGATGGCTTGGCATGAGTTGGTAGAGAGACAGGATGGCTTGGCATGAGTTGGTTGAGAGACAGGATGGCTTGGCATGAGTTGGTTGAGAGACAGGATGGCTTGGCATGAGTTGGTTGAGAGACAGGATGGCTTGGCATGAGTTGGTAGAGAGACAGGATGGCTTGGCATGAGTTGGTAGAGGACTTATGCTCAAAGAGGCAGCTGAGTTGTGTTAAAACGCATACCACCGCATACAGGATTTTCTCATAAGTACTCTATCCCCATCTTCAGCAGCCGGATCAGTTCCAACTTTGATGATACCAGTAGCAGTCTGACTGTATGTCTGTCTTGCCTTTCCTCTGAGAGTGGAGTGCCAGCCAAATATCCTGGTCACTGTCCACTGCAACATTCTCTTCAGACCGTGGTAATCTAATTGTGCCTCCACACTTTATTCGCTCCAAAAGGACCTGGACAACACCTAGTTTGTCATGCATAAGTTTACCGCTGAGTGGTGCAGAATCTGTTTGCCTGTTTGTTTCCCAACACATCTGCATATCCTGGAGAAAATTAGAAGGAATAAAGAACAGAAGAAGCAGAAGCAAGTGAAGGAATGGTCAAGTGTGGCCTGCCTCCACTAGTGGACAGATGAACACTGATGAGAGACAACTGTGCCAGGTTGTCATGCGCATACCTTGTGTTTGGTCAGCAACAGGTTGACACTGGTGAGGTCATGACCCAGGTCGGGTGATGACATGAGCTGCTCCTTTTCTCGGATCCACCCCTCCTCATCAGCCATGTCCCAATAGAACTGCCAGAGTTTGCGAGACTCTTCCAGACGTTTACGCCTCTCTGCCGCCAGCTGGTGTAGTTCATCATATGCCGTCTCCAGCATGGACATCCTTTCACGGATCATGTCGGGACTGCAAGGCCTGTAGCCTGTAGAAGAGAGAAGGTACAGTTTGTAAACTAAAACTGAGAAGTCCACGTGGTGTATCCGAAAACAACTTCAATATATCCAGAAATCAATCTTTTAAATACTCTTGAATTATTTTCGATGATATAATATTCCAACTGTTCTCTTGAAAGAAACACTATGATATAATATATTAAATATGCTCTTGAAAGTATATCTTTAATGTAAATCAATTTACAGACGATATTCCTGGTAAGTAGAGTTCAACCCTTTGGCCCTGAAGGGTCGCTAAGCCAGCACATATGCCTGTTAAACAATCCCATAAATGGGGCATTTCTGCAGTGGCCTGTCCCTGAGAAGCTTAGTTAACTGCAACTGGTTCTGTTTGCAGCTGTACAGTGTTTAGAAGAACTGGGCATGATTATATTTACTGGGGAGGGGAAAGGGGGGGGGGGGGGGGGGGGGGCAAAATGGTTACATTTATCTATGGTCAACCTAACATAAAATGAGTACCAGGAAATGACCTGGGGGGAAAAGGTGACCAACATATGTTGACCACATTACCCATCAAATGTCGACTGGTCTATAAAATTATGGATCTGGCAACATATACCAAATGCAACAATGATTTCAATATCTGGCACCATATACCCAATGCACCAATGGTGTCAATATCTGGCACCATATACCTAATGCACCTTTGGTGTCAATATTTGGCACCATATACCCAATGCACCAATGGTTTCAATATCTGGCACCATATACCCAATGCACCAATGGTGTCAATATCTGGCACCATATACCCAATGCACCAATGGTGTCAATATCTGGCACTATATATCAAATGCACCTTTGGTGTCAATATTTGGCACCATATACCCAATGCACCAATAGTGTCAATATCTGGCATCATATACCCAATGCACCAATGGTGTCAATATCTGGCACCCTTTACCCAATGCACCAATAGTGTCAATATCTGGCACCATATACCCAATGCACCATTGGTGTCAATATCTGGCACCATATATCCAATGCATCAATGGTGTCAATATTTGGCACCATATACCCAATGCACCAATGGTGTCAATATCTGGCACCATATACCCAATGCACTATTGGTGTCAATATCTGGCACCATATACCCAATGCACCAATGGTGTCAATATCTGGCACCATATACCCAATGCACCAATGGTGTAAAGATCTGGCACCATATACCCAATGCACCAATGGTATCAATATCTGGCACCATATACCCAATGCACCAATGGTGTCAATATCTGGCACTATATACCCAATGCACCAATGGTGTCAAAAGAATCTGTCACTTGACTTTTACTTTGCCCAACTGTCTTCACACGTTTTTTTTTTTTTAGCAACACAGCTTCTAACCTCCAATTTCTGAGAAGTCATCATCGATAAATCTCTGAGCCTGAGAGTTCACTGTGGACACTCGCTCTGCTACAACGCCAATATCAGCCTCCAAGAGATTGTGCTTCTGCAGCAAGTCCTCCACACCCATCAGATGCTTGCCATAGTCTTCAGACAACAAGCGAGCCTGCAGAAGGAATAGGAATCATGTCAACTACACATATAAGAAATGCAAACATTGCTGTAGCTCCAGCTTTATACTTCAATCCTAGGTGCAGGGAATTTAACAGCAGACCGCCTTGCATTGGTTTCGACAGAAGTATGGATAACCGACCATTCCAAAAGCGATGACAAACAAATGAATGTAAATTTGCCTAGAAAAACCACAACAGCCAAAAAAAATGCTGGGGTGGGTTCTGCAATGTTCTGTAAAGTACACATTTATTTTTCTCTTTAATACACCTGTCTCAATCTCTCTACGCAGAATGGTTAGCCACCTGACTATTGAGTAGCACAAAGCACAAACTGAGCAGTTCCTGCAATAATCCTAAAGGATCTCCATAAAAAATTGCACTCGTGTACCGAATAACATATTTGTGAAAAGAACCCACCACCAAAAGAGCACAAGGCTATGACTTAACTACTTTTCCACAGAGACTCCTTTTTCAAATGAAAGAATGTAGTCTTTTGTGTGTGTGTGCACACACAGTGGAGGCTGGCTTCAGTGTATCTTTGAGAACATCAGGTAGTAATGCCCTAATCTCTTCCACAGTGTAACTCTCATACCACTATCTGAAAGCCATGAATATGGCCCTTTTCTTACTCAGGCCATGAAAACCAAATCTAGGTACATCGAGGATTGAATTGTGCAATGATTAAACTCATCTCTACGCCAAAGAGCCATACTGACAAAACACTATCAAGTGATTGAATGTTTAATGTAATTACAATGTTGTTCATTACACTCAAGATCACAGAACTGAAAGGGAAAAAAGGTGGACACACACCCAAAAAAAAAAAAAAAACCACACATGAAGAAGAGAACTGGGAAAATGATGTGAAAAAGATGGGGAGGGCATGGGGCGAGCTGTAGGTGATGGCAAGGGATAGGAAGTTCCTGTTTGCTTCATTGGAAGATAAAGGGGGACAAGAATAAGAAGAGGGTGGAAGAAAAGATGCAGAGGAGGAAGAAGGAGAAATGTTTAAATCAACCGCCAGTAGTAAAATGGCCTGTGAGTTAAACCTCTCTCTCTCTCTCTCTCTCTTTCTCTCTCTTTCTCTCTCTCTCTCTCTTTCTCTCTCTCTCTCTCTCTTTCCACAGCTAATGTTGATCCAAGCAGGCAGTCTGCCAAGCTAGCCTTCACATGCTTAGTTAGGCAAAAACATCAGTCAACAGAAAGACTTACAGCAAAATCCAGGTAATTAAGAACTATGAAAGACTTGGTACGAATTAGCTGAGCATGTATGCTTTAGTAGATAAAAAGTAGAAAATGTCCGGATAAAAGTTTTCAAGGTCTGTATACTACAAATGATGTTCTTCACCAAACTGTGTCCTTATTTCTTACAGGTATTCATCAAAATCATCTTGTGCCGTTATATGTCTCACTGGATTCTTCCACTCATCTATCCTGTGTAATTGTGCCTCTATCATGGATGGAAACTAGTCCAGCACCTACAGCTGCTCTCATCTACCAGGGGGCTTCACATGAAAACCTTTTAAGTGTAATAGAAACTATATTTTAGGACTTGTTACTGGAGACGACAAGCATGCATCACCGTGCTGTACCTTCATTTTTATAGGGTTCACCCATTCAGTGATCACAAAATTGATTGGAAGATACTGCTCCTCTTGGGTACATGACAAAAGTGTGGTGGCCATATTTAAACTGTCACTATGACATCACCATGTTCGTCTGCACTGTGATGCCACATGCTTAACTGCTTAACACTCTTGACACCCTTGACACAAATATTTACATTTATCAAAACATAGGCATGGTTATTGTACTTTCTATCACACTTTTAGAGTTTTCATCTGAAAATTCATCTTAGTGTTTCTTTTGGATGCTTGATGCCTCAACCCATTTGTCTCCCATTTCAATGCCTGTTTGGTGATGCTCATAACAGACACTACTAAAGAAGAATCACATGCTACAGATGCATATTTTCTGGGCCAAACCCACATAAAGTAACAGGGTTAGATCTTTCCTTCCTGCTGCACTCCACCAACTCAAGACAAAATCAGGTGTATTAAACCCACTACCAATATCCCACAACCACAAAAGCCCAAATGCCCCCATCTCTCTTGCCTGGTATCCCCTCACATCTGTATTTTTTTTCTGTTGACATGTCTAAGAAATTTCACTTATTTCCTCTTTTTCACACTGATGATAAACCTTTTAACATCTGCACCTGTTAACATAAGCATTTTTTCCCTTCTCTGTCCATGACAACCCAAATCATCACACAAAGGGATTTCAAGCCAAAATTGCTGATAGCCAGCTAAACGCTGATGCTCTAAACGTTGTTTCCAGTTAGGTTTTACTGATGCAAATTCCATATTTCTTGACCAGGAGTTCAAAGGTTCTATCAACCAGCTATTGATCCGAGTGCTTGGTGCAACACTGTGAGCTGTGAGTTTCACATGCAATGTTTTTTCTGTTTTGCCCACAGCATGTTGTTGACCGCATGAAAAATGGCAGGTGGTAAATTAGTCCGAATGGCGTATACTTTTGTGTGCGCAATGGTGGCTTTCGTGATTGACCATCTGCACCAACACTGAGCTGCAATTCTGGTGTGAGATCAATAGTGTTGGCACACATGACAGCTGCCTTATGCATTTTTATTCTGAGTGTGCAAGCTTCAATATTTTGCTGGGACTGACAAGCTTTTAACTAGTTTTTAAATAGGACATTTAAAAAAAATACCCTGAACTATGAAGATATTTTCATTTGCTCGGATAAGTCAAAGAAATACATTGAACTATGAAGATATTTTTGTTTGCTCTGACATTACCCAGACAGGTCAAAGAAATACATTGAACTATGAAGATATTTTTGTTTGCTCTGACATTACCCAGACAGGTCAAAGAAATACCTTGAACTATGAGGATATTTTTGTTTGCTCTGACATTACCCAGACAGGTCAAAGAAATACCTTGAACTATGAAGATATTTTTGTTTGCTCTGACATTACCCAGACAGGTCAAAGAAATACCTTGAACTATGAAGATATTTTTGTTTGCTCTGACATTACCCAGACAGGTCAAAGAAATACCTTGAACTATGAAGATATTTTTGTTTGCTCTGACATTACCCAGACAGGTCAAAGAAATACCTTGAACTATGAAGATATTTTTGTTTGCTCTGACATTACCCAGACAGGTCAAAGAAATACCTTGAACTATGAAGATATTTTTGTTTGCTCTGACATTACCCAGACAGGTCAAAGAAATACCTTGAACTATGAAGATATTTTTGTTTGCTCTGACATTACCCAGACAGGTCAAAGAAATACCTTGAACTATGAAGATATTTTTGTTTGCTCTGACATTACCCAGACAGGTCAAAGAAATACCTTGAACTATGAAGATATTTTTGTTTGCTCTGACATTACCCAGACAGGTCAAAGAAATTCCTTGAACTATGAAGATATTTTTGTTTGCTCTGACATTACCCAGACAGGTCAAAAAAATACCTTGAACTATGAAGATATTTTTGTTTGCTCTGACATTACCCAGACAAGTCAAAGAAATACCTTGAACTATGAAGATATTTTTGTTTGCTCTGACATTACCCAGACAGGTCAAAGAAATACCTTGAACTATGAAGATATTTTTGTTTGCTCTGACATTACCTAAGCAAGTAAAAGAAATACTCTGAACAATGAGGATATTTTTGTTAGCTGTGACATTACCCCCTCTAGTCAAAGAAATATCCTAAAATATGGAGATATTTGTGTTTGTTTTATCACGACCCATTCTAGTTAAACAAATGCTCTGAACTGTGAGATATTTTTGTCTGTCGTTACATTACCCATTCTACATTTACCATCAGACAGTTACTAGTACCACTGGAATTGGAGCTCTTCCCTTGCTGCTGAAGATGGGGGACGGAGCACTTATGGGAGTGTCCCTAGTGCTATGATGTTGATACTCAATTCAATACTCAACATACCTATTCTAGTCAGAGGAATATCCTACAAGCCGTGCTAACAGAGGTCTCAGACATCACATCTCATACCTTAATTTCTTCCATCCAGTCCAGAATGTAGAGCATTTCCTTGAAGACCCTGTACAGACTCAGTGTCAGCTCCAGTCGCATGCGACGGGCCTGCAGCAGCTCTAGCAGGTAGTTCCACAGGCGAAGGACATTGTCCTTCCTGAAATTATCAGGGACAGATTTAGTCGCATTGTCACGTTAAGTAATGGTTAATAATGTTGGGCTGTTAGGCAAGGATTTCCTTCCTAAAATTATCAGGGACAGATTTAGTCACATTGTCACGTTAAGTAATGGTTAATAATGTTGGGCTGTTAGGCAAGGATTTCCTTCCTAAAATTATCAGGGACAGATTTAGTCACATTGTCACGTTAAGTAATGGTTAATAATGTTGGGCTGTTAGGCAAGGATTTCCTTCCTAAAATTATCAGGGACAGATTTAGTCACATTGTCACGTTAAGAAATGGTTAATAAGGTTGGGCTGTTAGGCAAGGATTTCCTTCCTGAAATTATCAGGGGCAGATTTAGTCACAATATCAGGTTAAGTAAACTGGGCTTTCATGCAGAAGACCAAGGTTCGAATCCTCAATAGGGCCATAGATGGCAAAAATAAAATTGTAATCAGCAAAGTCTGTGGATTTAGTCACAATATCATATTAAGTAACATTTAAGGGTGCTGAGCTCTTATACAGCAGACCCAGATGATGATGTTAGGTTATTTAGGTCAAAGGCTGGTGTATTTCATGACATTCACTCCATCTTAAATCTAACTTTGCCCCTCCCAATAAACCTAATTATTCTTCTTTTGACCTACTTTGTGCAATGGTGCCCGATACAAGACTCAATGTCTTTATGCCTCTCTTGCTCAAGTCTATCTCATTTTCAAGTACTGGACCCTGTTCTTCCCAGTCTCCAGTGGAAGGATGGGGTTTCAACACCCATTTGGAGAGAGGATGGGACCCAAAAGAATCAGATAAAGGCCAAGGGATGAGCTCTGAGTCTTCCTTTGAAGAGATCCTAGCATCACCATAATGGGTCATAAGCCATAATGCATATCCCTTCAGTTTGATAACTGGAAGCAAGGTTGATCTCTGAGGTGTCAGACATGTATCAGATGTGTCAAACAGTTCTTAAGTCTTGGTATGATCTTGGGGAACTGTAGTAATGCAATGGCTAATTCGCTTATCTACTTGCTCAACCCTTCAAAGTGATTTTGTTTTTAATGACTTGCCTTCCATGGTCAGCCTAGCTTAAAACGGGTAGCAGGAAATTCTGTGGGAAATAAATGTGATTAGAAAAACACTGAATAAATCCCCTCATTAGTGCTGACTTGTATATAAAAATACAGGGCTAGCATCATATACCCAGTATATCACATTGCACAGAAATGAGCCCTTTACTTTCTAAAAATATCTGATGACAGTGCAGTGTTCCGTGGACAATATGAGAGATCAGATGTATAAGAAATGCAGTATGAAAAACAAGAAGAGGCAGAGTGATATATGAAGAACTCAAAACAACAGTAGGCACAGTGCCAGTAAATGATTTCATAGAACATCAAAGAATCAAACGGTTTGGCTACCTGGTTAGAATGGAACAAAATCAGCCAGCAGCTAGAACGTGCTAAATGAAAACAGCAGGCTACACGTCAAGAGGCCAACCACAAACAAAAGGATGGAGGGAGTAAAAAAAAGACACGAAAGAAATGCAGTATGACATTATCACAAGCTACGGAAACAACTAGCTAAAGAAAGGAAACTACATCTAACTACTTTCTTCTACACCTTATGGCAGAAACAACATCAAACTCCTCTCTGTGACGCTTTATGGCAGAAACAACATCAAACTCCTCTCTGTGACGCTTTATGGCAAAAACAACATCAAACTCCTCTCTGTGATGCTTTATGGCAAAAACAACATCAAACTCCTCTCTGTGACGCTTTATGGCAGAAACAACATCAAACTCCTCTCTGTGACGCTTTATGGCAGAAACAACATCAAACTCCTCTCTGTGACGCTTTATGGCAGAAACAACATCAAACTCCTCTCTATGACGCTTTATGGCAGAAACAACATCAAACTCCTCTCTGTGACGCTTTATGGCAGAAACAACACAACTGTGACGCTTTATGGCAGAAACAAACTCCTCTCTGTGACGCTTTATGGCAGAAACAACATCAAACTCCTCTCTGTGACGCTTTATGGCAGAAACAACATCAAACTCCTCTCTGTGACGCTTTATGGCAGAAACAACATCAAACTCCTCTCTGTGACGCTTTATGGCAGAAACAACATCAAACTCCTCTCTGTGACGCTTTATGGCAGAAACAACATCAAACTCCTCTCTGTGACGCTTTATGGCAGAAACAACATCAAACTCCTCTCTGTGACGCTTTATGGCAGAAACAACATCAAACTCCTCTCTGTGACGCTTTATGGCAGAAACAACATCAAACTCCTCTCTGTGACGCTTTATGGCAGAAACAACATCAAACTCCTCTCTGTGACGCTTTATGGCAGAAACAACATCAAACTCCTCTCTGTGACGCTTTATGGCAGAAACAACATCAACTCCTCTCTGTGACGCTTTATGGCAGAAACAACATCAAACTCCTCTCTGTGACGCTTTATGGCAGAAACAACATCAAACTCCTCTCTGTGACGCTTTATGGCAGAAACAACATCAAACTCCTCTCTATGACGCTTTATGGCAGAGACCTTCTCAGCCTTTAAAACAGCAAAAAACAATAACCTTTAATTAACCATCAAAAATCCGAGTGTGGGCTCCGAGGCCTCATTTTGGGGAAAAGAAGAACCAACCCAGTGCCACCCTGACAAGCATTTTATAAGAGTTGAAAAACAAGGGGTTTCCTTCAAAGCCGGAGTACATCTGCCTGAGAGGCAAGGAACCAACAGTCTACATATAAATAAGCCAGATCTGTAGAACAGGTGTGCACGCAACACACAGGTTCTGGAACAAGAATAAAGTCCAGATGCGGACACACAACCAGAACTTTATACATTTAGTATACAGCCCGTGAACACAAACAACAACAACAATAACTACTGAAATAGCCATGGAAATCTGATCTCCAACACTGCAATAGGGTAGTGAAGTGGGAGAATCCTGTATATTCTAGTCTACATCATTCATTAAAATACAGGATGACCAGCTGCTCCCTGCATCATATCACTAATTAAATCAGAGACATCTCTCACACCAATTATGCATGTGATGGGAACAGAGCCTTTATTTATTCAACACTTTTCAACTATCCATCTTGCCACAATGGATTCTAAATTCTGCTGCATGCCTCCTCTAGTACTTTACATATAATTTATTTTGCTACATTTCACTATATATTTGTACATATTTACAAACCGCAATTTTGCTTAAATATAAACATTTGTTATTTCTGCTTCTGTCTGTCATCTTTGGCTGCTGATGAAGGTGTATTGCCACAAAATCCTCCAATCTACTGTGTTTTTGAACAGCTGACATTCATCATCCGGACCTTTTGTTCATTATATTACCTATAATGGCAGCAAACATCACCTGATCAACTCCTCACGGAGAGACAGTTCCCGCTCATGCTCAGCTCTCTCCAGCCTTTCCCAGGCCTTGTTGATATCAGAAAGCAGCTTGCCTTCCCGGGGCAGGTATGGGCGCTGGTTGTTGGCCCGCATCTTGCTCTGTATGGTGAACAGGAGAATCTCTAGGTTGCCTTTCTCATCAAATCTGGAAATGAGAATAGACACTTTTAAAATCACTAACTTGCAACAACATAGCAAAATTCCACAAAATATTTTCTCTTGGCATTAAAAGTGAATCAGGTAAATGAATCCTACTATTTCTTTTTTTTTAGACTAAAAATACTTACTACTATGGGATCTCTGTGGTCAAGTGTTTAAGCTGTTTGCCTCATGCTTTTCTTTTTCTTCTTCTTTGCATTCACAGGCTGTAAACTCCGGCTGAAAGTTCTTTTTGTTCGTCCACTTCTCGACTTTGGTCTTGTTCCAGAACTTGAGAATTGCATGCACATCAGTTTTACAGATCTAGCTTATTTATATGCAGACTGATGGTTTCACATCTCATAGGCAGATGCACTCCAACTTCGAAGAAAACCTCACATCTGTGCACTCAATTTTTGAATGTCTTTCAGCTGGTGAGTGCAGGTATTCCATAGATCCATAGTGGTCTGGTTACTGCTAAAGCTACTGAGTTCATGTTTTGTGCAAAATTCTCACAGGTACAGCCACTCTCCGGAGTGAGACTGAGCCCAATTAGATAAAACCTCACATAACTACACACCATACAATCAATCATATTTCATCTCCACAATAAAGATGCCTGCAACAGATTTCAAAAATACAAAACCTCATGTCATAATACACTCCATGAAGTTGCTGTTCATTCATCTCCCAAACACTCGACCTCAAGTCCTAGTAAACTCTGAAACTGCTTTTCATTCATCTCCAAAATACTTGACCTCAAGTCCTAGTACACACTCTGAAACTGCTGTTCATCTCCAAAATACTTGACCTCAAGTCCTAGTACACACTCTGAAACTGCTGTTCATCTCCAAAATACTTGAACTCAAGTCTTAGTACACTTTCTAAAACTGCTGTTCATTCATCTCCAAAATACTCGACCTCAAGTCCTAATACACTCTCTCAAACTGCCTTTCATTCATCTCTGAATGTAACTTTCCCATCATTTTGTTTGTGTCTACCTTGCTTGCCTTCCATTTGTCTCCCCAGTATGGTTTTAATAGTACTATTTGAAACTTGTCAAAATAATTCACCTCTCTTAGATTTCTTTCAGCAACTGTCTTGTCATTCCCAGTCACAAATGAACCTCAGTATTTGATTGTTTTTTGTTTCCAAAACATATAACCTACTGTTCTGCACATCCAGACAGCCGCCAAGGTGTAGTGACTAGATGCTCATCTTCGGATCCAAAGGTCATGGGATCAAATCCGAATGGACTTAAATGAGTACTGGGTAAGTCCCAGAAAAAACTTTAAAAGGCTTTACCACTGAAGGTGTGGAAAAGGGCCCTTTACTTTCTTACAGCTCAGATATCTTCTTGTTCTCTTCCTGCAGATACCCAGCAAAGTGTTGGGGAAAGATGTTAGGATTTTCTGTGTGCTCACTTCAATGTGCTGAATCAGCTGATCTTCCTTTCTCTAGGATTGTTTTGTGTGTGCCATCATTCCAGATCTTTCATGATCTTGCCCTTGCTCTGCATTCTTTGTTTTTTCAATGTGGCTCTTTGTGGGAATCTATAGCGCAGCCATACAATGTACATGGTGATTTGTTTCCCGGCTGACTTTATTTTAAGCCCACCAGTCAAAACTGCCGGCATGATGCTGACTGTATCATCCAACAAGTGCCCACTGGTTTATAAAATATAGGTCTAGCCCTATATGCCCGATACGTCTGAAGGCATGGAAAAGGGTCTACAATAGTAACAATTTATAATAACTAGTCTGTCCTTGTCATGATACTCACTGGGCAAGAGAAATGGTAAAAGTAAAGGACCCTTTTCCACGCCTTTAGGCGCATTGGGCATACAGGGCTAGACGTATATTTTATAGACCAATCGGCACTTGGTGGGTGATGTGGTCAGCATCATGCTGGCCGCCTTTATTTCCCAGGATTGCAAACTGCTACCTACTCAAGGCTGGGTCGACCTGGGAGTCAAGGTCATTAAAAGAAATAGAGGGAGAACTAAAAACAAATAGAGATGAGAATTAGATAGAATGATAAATGATATAGGAATGACATACAGGGCTAGACGTATATTTTATAGACCAATCGGCACTTGGTGGGTGATGTGGTCAGCATCATGCTGGCCGCCTTTATTTCCCAGGATTGCAAACTGCTACCTACTCAAGGCTGGGTCGACCTGGGAGTCAAGGTCATTAAAAGAAATAGAGGGAGAACTAAAAACAAATAGAGATGAGAATTAGATAGAATGATAAATGATATAGGAATGACATGAAGGAGTTGGCAAAAGACAGGATGACCTGGCCTGTGTTGGTTCAGGGTCTTTACTCAAAGGAAGGAAGGAAGGAAGGAAGGAAGGAAGGAAGGAAGGAAGGAAGGAAGGAAGGAAGGAAGGAAGGAAGGAAGGAAGGAAGGAAGGAAGGAAGGAAGGAAGGAAGGAAGGAAGGAAGGAAGGAAGGAAGGAAGGAAGGAAGGAAGGAGGAGGAAGAGAAGAGGAAGGATGAGACAGGAAATGTAATCTTACTTTCCCGATACGCTTTCCTTGCACAGAGTCAGCCTTCATCTTGGAGAAGTAGTGGTAGTAAGTGACCACGTAGGTAATGATTGATTTCTCATCAGGAAACTCCACATTGACATCTGTAACCAAATCGGTGAGTACACAAAACTCATAAAAGTTGTCACACATTCTCTGAGCATCATAAAGTAACTGTCATCTCTGACTGTTTGTGTGGATGGATAATGACGAATCTCTGACACTAACATGACTGCATGACCTGGGAGTAAAGCGCATCTATCTCGCCTTCGAGGCTGAGATAGGCGACATTATAACTACCTTGTCATGGGAACAATTAGTAGAAGTACCCTGGAGTGGTTGCTGCATTGGAGGACTGAGCACACATGGGAATGCCGAACATGCAGTGCTGTCGATTGTGATAACATTGAATGTTTCTATGGCCCATATGGAAGAAAATAACAACACTGTTTCTTAACATGCATGTCAAAAGAGGCAGCCATGGAGGGTTGGTGTATGACTGGCTTCCTTGTCATAAACAAATTTAGCTGTAAAATCCAACTAATCCTAATTAAGTCTTAAGGCTGAAATCCTATGCTTCATTGGGAGACTTAAGATGGTAGCATGAGAAGAACCGTCATATCAAAGAAGGTTCTGCCACAATAATGAAATAGGCTAATCACACATACTAATTAATTGTTGTTTCTGCTGAGGTGAAAAGTAAATCCTCATCATTTTCTTGCCGAACAAAGCAAGGTGAGGAAATTATTTTTCTTCTTCTTCTTTGAGTTCACAGGCCATAAACTCTGTCGGAAAGTTATTTGACCACTTCTGGACTTTATTGTTGTTCCAGAATCTGAGGCAGAAACACTCCAATTTTGAAGGAAACTTAACATCAAGTGTCTTTTTACTGAGGTTTTGGTCAGTGGCAGTGTGTAAAAAGAAATCAGGGAACCACAGAGGAATCTTTCATTCCTACAACACAGCAAGTGGTTAGAATTTTCGTGGCAATAATTAATATAAACAATAACGATTTTTTTTTAAAACAAAACATTATGGGACTGAAAGAGTTCAGCGACAACTGAGACATACAGCTTCTTGGAGTCCCAAGGAAGGCATCACACACTAATCAGTTACTACCCAGGTGGCCAATCAGCACGTGACACGTTCAAGTTTTTAATTTACAACTGGCCTATTTAACAACGCAAACCTGCAGTTTTGAATGGTACTTTCTGTCCTTTGTGTTTGATTTCCCACATGTTGACAATATGATTACAGGCATATAATATAGCATGTTTGTGAGCTTTTCCCAATTACTGAATGATTGTGTGAAAATAATATGGCCTCCGAGCAGAGGTTTTCATGCAGGCTAACAAGATTTATGACTTTAGAAGCCTCATATTTAAAAAAAACACCTGTTTATCAGATTTTTCCAAAGCTGGAAAAGAAGGTTATGAAGTATCCTTGTTGAAATCATTGATAGAGTCGAAACTTGGATGAGGGATAGCTCTGATATATATCTCACACAAAGCCTACAACAATAACAAAGTCAGCTGGGTACAAAGAGAATAAACATTAGTGAAAAATGCAATATTGTTCAGCGTCAGTTGGCTCTTGTGCGATTTAATTATTATATGGGAAGATAGGCTAATAATTACAAGCAAATTGAATCTTATACAAACTATAATTTTTTTTTTTAATACTAATCGTTTTTGGAGGTAATTTTTCTTTACCAAAAAAATTGTGCCTTGTTATGATATTCTAAAAAAAATTTTATGGAACAAGATCTAATAGACAGATTTTGTTTTTTTTTTATTTATACTTTACTAAGTGGTTCATGTTCATTTTTCATTCATTTTGGATATATTTTTTGAAGTTTTCCTTGAGTGTCACAGTGGTAAGCGGAAAGATTATTATTTCTTTTTATTAATTTATCTCAAGTTTAGTCGTTGTGAGCACGCTTTGTAATGCTGGGGTGCCGGGTTCAATCATAGCTGTGGACGATTTGTCTTCGTTGGTTTCAACAGTGGTACCGAGAGCTGACTGTTCAGAAGCAAGGGCAAACTACTAAACATAAAATTTGTCTAGAAAAACCAAAACAGCTAAAAAAAATGCTGGGGTTGGTTCTGTAAAGGATACGCAGCTAACTTAACATACCATCTGTTATTTATTAATAATTAACAAATAACACAATTTATTTTTGAAGCAGTATTATAATATTATTCCTCAACAATCCCTGGTCACTTTGATGTATAATATGTGTATGTTGCACGGCAGCTGAATTAGTATGGTCTATTTTAATGTGTTACACTTGTGAAATTTTAAAATTGCATTATCACCCCTTAGGCCTTTGATGCTTAACCCCCTGAGACTCAAAGAGTTAATATCAGAACTACATGACACACAGAGAGTGATTAAATAACATGTCAAATATGGAATTCACAATAAATGTACAGTAAGTTGCTTGGTTTTCAAAGAGTTAAGTGAAAGTTAATACACACCCTCTGGGTCCAGCAGACTGGCCAATCCCAGCTTCTCTTCGGCAACAGTGAAAGCATTTTGTAGGTTGTGCATGGCATTTGATTTCTGAAGTTTTTCATAGTGGATCAAGTCGGGTCTAGAAGAACATCATATAAACCATTTCATTGTAAGATCAAAATCATTTGGACAAGGTTACTACTGACACCAACATGTCAATCAAAATTTACAGCACCATTATGAATGATCACTGACATTGTTAAAAACTGCAACTTGCTTGGCTTCACAATTAACACCAGGGCTCGCTGGCTAAGAAGTTAGTGATGTTTTGGGAGTTTTAATTAATAAGGTGATTAGGCAGATTTACTGGGGTTTTTTTAATAGTCATTGCGAGTTGTTGCTACTGGCAATAGTTAGCCACCAACATTTTCTTCCATACGAAAGGATACAGTTCTGTCGCCCAGCTACTGAGTTGAGTGTTTGGTGCGGTACTGTTTGCTGCTGATTTCAACTAGGATGCTTTCCGACCCAATGTAGTTTGTGTTGCGAACTGCAGATTTAGAAAATAACGAGTGGCCTGCTACCAGAGAGCTGGGGCTGTCTCCATCCATGATGAACTGCATTTATAGTGCTGGACTATTTGATCTGGCACCTCTGACGATGACCTTATGCACTGAATCCATGAATATGCTATTAGCTTTGCTGAGACTGCTGTATGTGTCCATTTGTTTACATGCGACAGTGATGGACATTCTATGCGGTCTTCTTTGGCACAGTAATAAAGCAACTATGAGGTGACCCGTTTGCTATATTGTTGGAATTGCAATTACCTAACCATGTTTTATAATCCTCAAGTACCAGGGTTCGAACTTCCACAGCAGACAATTTACAAAAAGGCTGTTCTTGTGCCCTTAAGATGGTGGTAAGAGAGTTGCACTGTGGAAAAGATTGCAGCCTCACAGTGTAATATTCCCACAGACAGCAGTGGAGGTACCGCAACCAACCACTATAGAGATCTCACAAACATTATTACTATTATTATTAGCTGTTAACAACAGGACATCATTTGGGTCCCATCTGAGGCTGGGTCCACACGGGGAGCCAGTAAATTCTTTTTAAAAATCTTGAGGAAAATGAAGATTTGAACCAAATACCTTCGGGCCAACAGACAAGAGTCTAGCCACTCCGCTACCACAGTTCCCATTATTATTTTAGGAGTGGTATTACTGTCTTAACTAGGACACCCAAGAGACACTCCGAGGCGAACGTTAATGAGACAAACTACAGGTGCTGAACTGGATTCCTGAAGGGACTGCACAGGACAGAAAGGAATGGAGCAACAGACTGTGAGCCCTATATGATATGTAATGGCACAACAGGACAACAAATGAATGAATGAATGAATGAATGAATGAATGAATGAATGAATGAATGAATGAATGAATGAATGAATGAATGAATGAATGAATGAATTACTGTTTTAGATAAGAGTAATAGTGTCAGGAAAGATTTGTTTTTATTGTATTATGCAGGATATTACTGTATTATGTGATTCTTACTTTATATCCTAACATAGACTTCATATCATTCTATCATTTACTGTTATACGTTTCACTTGTTGACCAAATATTTGAATGCTGTAACGTAGTTATTTCAGAGTCAGTTCCATTTTTTATGTTGTTTTCTTTCTTACCATTGTTTGCTGTTGAAGGCTTTCAGCCACAACAACTCTGTCTGATTACTGTATTGAGTTCTGTAGAGCTGACATATCCTTTACATTCTCTAATTATTTAATCACCGGAACATCATATCCAAGAACAGAACAACACCACTCTTTTCTCACACTCAGCTGTAAACTATACCACAGCCCAGCTGTAAACCACAATGCAATGGGCAATTGACTTTTAAAGGTGAATAAAGAAGAAGTGATGTAGAAAACAACATTCATTTCATTCTCATCTCAGACACAAATACCTGTGTTTGTGTATCAAAGCATTGAATGCAAGACCATCCCGCCAACTTGTGGTAAAATTGCGAACATTCACATTTGGATACCCAGCAGTCTTCATCTGGCACCACAACAGCAGTGCATCCTTGGCGGATTTGGTTTCCTTGTTGTCAAACTCTTCTATGGTGATATCTTGGATCTGTTGTGACAGTGTTTCCAATCAAAGTTATCAATCTTCAAGTAAATCAATTCCAAGTGTTAGTTTCTATAGTGCTATTAGAATTCATCAGTTTACATACATAGTAAAATAAGTAAAGCACCCTTTTCACTTGATTGTTGATGTAGTCAACATTACGTCGACCACCTTTACTTCCTAGGACATTACTTAGTACCTATTTTAGGCTAAGTTGACAGGGAGCCAAGGTCAATTTCTGGGAACAAATTATGCCTCTGTGCACATCTGAACCTTTGACCTTCGGACCGGCAGGCAAGCGTCCAGTCACCAGGCCACCCTATTTACATATGAACAGTTCTCTATTCAACATAGTAAAATCTCATAAATGTTCAGCTTAGTCAATAAGACCAGCGTGAACTGATACTGACCATTTTATTTAACGAGAGTCGATCAGTCTGGGTTTTTATTTTTAAACACTCCCAGACTGCTAAGAGCCCTAATCCCACAGGAAAAATTATAGATACCAGGTACTTTGTTCAAAGGCAGTGCCAGACATATACTGCTTCAGGGGTTTTGACATAATTCACATTTATGCCCCCCACCCCACCCCCGACCGCAACCCAAAAAGAAAACAAAGATAATGACACACATTAAATTCATAACTGTCAGGTCCCTCAATATAACTGTGTTATATGGATGAACAGGGTTTCTGCAATATGCACCTCTTGGATTTTCTTTGAGTCACTGGGTGTTAATCCTTCAGTATGCAATCCTAGAGAGGTTTAAAACAAAACATGACTCTTAGAATAAGGACTGTGCTTAGAATAACTGAAGGTGGTTACAAATGAAGATTTAGAAAATGTCTTTGAATGAGATTGTTAAAAACAAACCCAAGAGAAAACATGTTGAATGTTGAATTAAGAATCAACACCACAGCACTCGGGACACCTCCATAAGCGCTCCGTCCCCATCTTCAGCAGCAAGCAAAGAGTTAAAATTCCGATGGTACTAGTAACTGTCTGATTGTATATCCGTCTCGCCTTCTCCCCGAGTTTCGAGCGTCGGTCAGATCCCCTTGTAACTCCTCGCAGCGCCATTCTCCTCAGACCGTAATGATCTATCTGTGCCTCGGCACTGTTCACTGACTCCCAAAGGGCCATCACAACATCCAGCTTGTCATAAATCAGTTCACCACCAAGTGGTGCAGAACCAGCAAAAAAAAAGAAAACATAACAGTACTAAATAACACCAATAATTTTTTTTAATCAAGTGATAAAACATGGTCATAAAAATAAATCCAAACTGTCACCTGGAACCTAAGAATGATGGTCCAGATAAGACCCAGGGTGAGCCGGGCACTGCCATCCACTATGTCATGGGCACCCATGTTCTCGAGATGCACTCTCTGTTCATGTAGGAAAGTCAAAGCCTTGTCTACATTCTCCAGGCAGTGAATCCTCATCTTGCCTTTAGTTGGTCGAGGCTGTGGAGGAGACATTTGTTTGGTTAGTATGATAGTGCCAGTTCAAATTTCATGGAAAATTTATAAGCAGCGTTCATCAGAAACCTGTTTGTGTCACATGGTCGTCCTGCTGCGTGTGTTGACCATTATAATGTCACAGTTATGTAACAAGTACTGACCAAGAATAAAACAGCACATGCTCATCATCTCATGATGCAAAGGTTCAGTTTCTGACCTTAGAGAAAATGGTCGGGTTCATCCAAAATCCCCCCTAAAAAGCTCAGAGAGTGGTGATTCAGTTTCTTTCATTTAAAGGATGTTGACCAGAAGACACCATCGAAGAGACCAGGCAGCATAATGTAAGAAATGTGTCTCAAAGACAACAGTGACAGACTGGGCACGAATGTTCTGGAAAGGACGGGAGATCTTTCATGGCCGAGTCAAGCATGTATTGTAGCAACAGAAATTAACCATCACCAAAATTGACACAGCAACAGGGGTAACTGTTGTCAAAGCAAATGTTCGCTAATGAAGAATTTGATGCGTCAACTGGGACAGTTCAACAGCTTGTTCATAAGAAACTGCAATATTAGTAGTTGTGTCCCCAGATGCTGACCAATCACCAAAAGGAGGAATGCATGGGACGTGTTTAAACCACTTGCTGTGTGACAGAGCGGAGGGTGGGGCATTTCTCTTCTGCATGGTGGCAAATTACTCCGCTAAGACGAGTCCCAAGCCTGGCTGTAAAAGGAGGAGGGTCTAGCTGAACCTGAACGTTTCATGCATCTCTGGAAGTAATGGGTAACCATGAGTCAGCCAGATTGCCTGCATGGAGACTGCAACGAGGGAGCCTCTCCACCATGCAAAGGCACAACAAGCCAATCCGATCTTTACCTTAAACTACAATTACATGTTACCACAGAGAAAAAACCGTACGGATCTTAGCTGGCATGGCTTATGGACTATGATTTATGGAACATACGAAGCAATAACGGGAAGGAAAACGAGGGAAAATGAGAAAAGCAAAATTAGGAATCTTGGCTCTGACTGAAACCAAGAATAAGAGACAGAGAATCACAGATCATGATGGAAGTATGCTGCTCTACAGTAGTGCCTCTACAACAGACAGAGCCAAAAGAGATGTTGGCTGTAGAGTGGCCAGAAATAAAGTTAGAACATCAAGGGATGGAAATTCATGGTAACCATGAGTCAGCCAGATTGCCTGCATGGAGACTGCAACGAGGGAGCCTCTCCACCATGCAAAGGCACAACAAGCCAATCCGATCTTTACCTTAAACTACAATTACATGTTACCACAGAGAAAAAACCGTACGGATCTTAGCTGGCATGGCTTATGGACTATGATTTATGGAACATACGAAGCAATAACGGGAAGGAAAACGAGGGAAAATGAGAAAAGCAAAATTAGGAATCTTGGCTCTGACTGAAACCAAGAATAAGAGACAGAGAATCACAGATCATGATGGAAGTATGCTGCTCTACAGTAGTGCCTCTACAACAGACAGAGCCAAAAGAGATGTTGGCTGTATAGTGGCCAGAAATAAAGTTAGAACATCAAGGGATGGAAATTCATCTCAGAGTGAATTATGGTGCTAGATTTGAAAGAAGAAGATAAAATTATAAATACTGTCATTGTGTATGGACCAAACTGTATTTAGAAAATTACCTGTAAATGCAACATTACGACAGACAATGCTGTAACAGCACAGAATGGATGAATATAATACAGATAATCTTGCTGTGATATCACTAACGCATATATGTGGATATAAAGAAGAAAACGCTCTAATTCATGGAAACAATAACAATAAAATACAAGAGGTCCGAAAAGACTAGGAATGAAAAAAGAGCTGTTGAAAGAAATATAATAAAAAATAAAAAAAAGTTTGTGACATATTTCAGTCATAAGAACATAACATGTGTTCACCTGCAAAAGTTCAATTAGCATGCTGTGTTGTTATTTACAACTAGGCTGAAATATCCGCACCTTTTGGTCCAACATATCTAACTTCAGCAGACCCCTAATTAGTCCCCTTTTATAATATGCTTGCTAAAGAGCAGTGGGCCCTTTCCCTTTTCCCCAAAGGGACACCAACCCCCCCCCCCCCCCCCGCCCATAAATCAAACATGAAAGCACACATATAAGAGCACACATACAAAAGTACTTACTAATCTCTCCCCAGACAGTACTTCCAACAGTTTGATGAGTATTTTGCCATCACGTAGATCCACATATAGATCCTGAATCTTGAAGTTCACGCGGACCAAGTGTGAATTCACCCATTTCTGGAAAGTCTTCTTTTGAACTAATTCACGTTCATCTGAAAGCAAGATATTTCAATATATGTATGTGGATATCCCCTTTCTAGCATACTTATGTACTATGCATTATTACATGGTGCATAAAAGGGGGAAATTAATTTTAAAAAAATATAAGGGCAAACTTGTAGCTTTCATTTAAAGTGTGATTAACAGATATGAAAGAAAACAAACAACGAAGTACTACCACCCCTCCCTCCCCAACCCCAAATGAAAAAAGAAGACACATACAATATACTATACAATGTATTGCCTGGCATATATTGCTGTACCTCACCAGCTACATTAAGACAGAATGTTAACACTTCCATCTGAATTCAAGGCTTAGATATCTAATTCACGGCAAAAATAAGGTTTTACAAAGGCAGGGGTGTCGGCACAAGGCTCCAACCCCCCCAACCATGATGTAAACAAAAGACGCACACAGGTGAAAATGGTGTGCCAGGGGCAGTAAATAAATTCAGTATCTCTTTAAATGACCACTAATTACTGGCACCATGAGAGCTAAATGATGGTTGGATAACATAACAGAAAGACAAAAACTACGTACACAAAAGAGCGGAATGGGAGTCAACTATGAGGCAGATCAAGAAGGCGGTGGAGAGTTAATATGCAGACAGACCCACAAACACTAGGTCACCAAATGAAAAGAGAAAATTAGTCAGGGATGATTGAGGTGGGTGATAATCTGCAGCAATAAACCTCAAGGGCTCGGAATGCTGAAGAAGTACATCAACACATAATAAAAAATACAAACACACAAATTATATTGTATTTTGATGAACTGCATTCTTCACCAAAGAAGTCTTAGATCTAAGATTTGTGTGCTGATAGACTGACTGGAAGCAGCTTTGCATGCATGCTTTAAGAAGACTAAAGACAACATATACAACAACAAAATTGTCTTCTTTTATTTTTTTTTATTCTGGATTAAAAAAATTATTTCAGTTAAGAAGTGGTAAGGCCGGTATCTTGACACTCTGAAGGTTGTAGATTCATTTTAAACTGATGTTCGTTTCACATGTACAGTTCTATGAAGATCCCTGTCACCGGAGCTACCGGGTTTATGCTTCATGCAATGCAATGCATTCACCAGGGGGCTAGCTATTATGTGGAGAGAAACCAAGCACTATGGGATAAAACCCAGTGCAATGAATTTAATCCTCTAATTCTTACAATATTTTGCACTACGTCTATTAATCTGCGGTGCCCACTTTCTGCTGTTTGCCTTCCAATCCACTTCAGGTATGGAATCTGGTGCACCATTTACTGCACGGCTGCTATCTCTCCCTGCTTGTAACTAACCAGGACAGCACTACAGGGACCGGGTCAGATATCCGGTTATCTGTGACCTGTAACACCCACGCAATTGCTTCCAGTGACTAGCTGCGGGTTAAGAAAGAACAGATAGGCAGATATGCTGACATATGTTTGGACAGACACAGATATATGATTCCAGGAGTGGACGAACCCAGACAATCCGGTTATCTGTGACCTGTAACGAACCCAGACAATCCGGTTATCTGTGACCTGTAACACCCACGCAATTGCTTCCAGTGAATGATTACACAAAAGATTACCTATGATTACACAAAAGATTACCTATGATTACACAAAAGATTACCTAATGCCCTCAGCCCAAGTTGGGGAGTTGGACAGAATGTTAGGCCTGCACGTTCTGACAAATACAGGCCAGTGCGGTTGGAAGCTGGGGTTTACCCCCCCCCCCCCCCCTTACCGAACCTCCAAAAATAATTAAGGGGCTACTCCTCCCACCTTCGCCCCTTATAAAGTTGTAAGTGAGCCCTATTAAACTATGTGCAGAAATATTCTTTAAAACTCTCTGATCATATTTTTCGTATTATAAAATATCAATTACATTAAGTTCCCCCCATCCGGCAAGTTTTCTGTGTGTGGCGTCACCGCAACAACGCTATTGCTGGCCATGTGGTCCTCGATATGTGGATGTGTGTATACATAATCTTCACCTTGGTCGTCCAGGTCGAAAATGTAATCTACCCAGATATGAGACAGAAATCTAAGCATGTCCAGCAACAACAAAGTAATTGTAAGGGGGGGGGGGGAGAGTGCGCGAGCACACATGTGTGGTGGCGGCGGCGGTGGTGGTAGAAAGAGTAGTAGTAGTAATAAAACAAAGTTCTTCAACTTTTGTTTACATACAAAGACCGCCAAAGAGACGAAATTGTTTTTGCGGACTAGCTGCGGGTTAAGAAAGAACAGATAGGCAGATATGCTGACATATGTTTGGACAGACACAGATATATGATTCCAGGAGTGGACGAACCCAGACAATCATATATACACAGGGACAGGCCAGTCAGTAGTTCGAACCCAGACAATCATATATACACAGGGACAGGCCAGTCAGTAGTTCGAACCCAGACAATCATATATACACAGGGACAGGCCAGTCAGTAGTTCGAACCCAGATAATCATATATCCACAGGGATAGGCCAGTCAGTAGTTCGACAGATGCAGTATAGTAAAGAACCCCTTTCCATACAATCAGGCATACTGGGTTTTATGCTAGACCAGAGGTTCTCAACCTATGGGGTCGTGACACTTTTTTTGTGGGACAACGCTTTCACATGGGTCGCCAAATGCCATCGCCAAAAAAAAAATATTTATTAAAGTTATGAAGTAGCGACGTAAATAAGTGTATGGTTGGGGGTTGCCACAACACGAGCAACTGTATCAAAGGGTGGCGGCATTAGGATGGTTGAGACCTATATTTTATAGACCAAGCGGCACTCGGTGGGTGATGTGGTCAACATCATACCGGCCGCATTTACTTCCCTGACTACACCTGGTACCCACTCAAGGCTGGGTCGACCTGGGAACCAAGGTTATTTCTTTAATAAGTCCAGCCCCTTCAGGACCCGAACTCACGGCCTTCCGATCAGGAAGCGAGCGGCTCCCTTCGATGGACATACAGACTAATAAATAGGCCAGTTTCCTCACTGCAATTATCTAGTGCAGAGTCTGCCTAACTGTGTCGGCTGCAGCGTGAAGGTATGTAGCGCTAACGTATACGCATGCATCTGTATCTCTTATAAGCGGCTAGTTTAACCGCTGGTGTGCTGATAGACTAAACTACTGGGTGGCGAAAAGACTAAACTACTGGGTGGCGAAAAGACTAAACTACTGGGTGGCGAAAAGACTAAACTACTGGGTGGTGAAATTATATCTGCCTAAAAAGTGTGTCCTCAACGTGAAAAGTTGGAAAAGCTCTGATTTTGCAATCTGGGTGAATCCACAGGCTGACCTACCACTCAGTGCACTGCTACCAGATAGCCTGGTACTTCATTTTTAATTCACCCTAGACAAATGAAACCATGGAGTTCCTGGGAAAGTGTAATATTCTCGAGGAATTATGGTTTGGATTAGGGTTAGTGTTAAGTTAGGGTAGGGTTAGCCGGTGTCTGTAAGGCGGTAGGGGTTGACAAAGATCTTAACCCTAACCCCACACCATAACACCTCCAGAATATTGGACATTCCAGGTCGACCAAGCCTTGAGAGGGTACCAGGTAGTCCTGGAAAGTAAAGGCGGCGGGCGTGACGCTAATCATATCACCCAACAAGTACCTTTTGATCTTTTTTTTTTTTTTTACGTATCCAGAAACCATGAGTTGTAAACCCTTTGGCTCGGTACTATGGATATCGCAACCCTTCGGTCTTGATTCCATTATAGGTACCGTTAATCTGGGAGAAATGTGGCTTTTCTGCCTACCCCCGGGAGTGAACCCGGACCACAAGGAGTTCGTCACCCGGCCGCCGCGAAAGTCAGGTTTAACCAACTAGAGAGAGCCGGGCACCTTTTGATCTATAAAATATACGTCTAGCCCTATATACCAAATCCTCCTAAAGCGCGTGGAAAAGGGTCCTTTACTTTTACCTACTGATATCAGGGTGACCCGAGACCGACTAGTGAAAGTGAGTCACGCATGACGAGACACGCCTATAACAATTGCCGGTCTGCAGTCTGCCTGCAGTGTGCCAGTGGACGCGCCATCGATTGCTAAATAACAGGTTACATTTTTGCAGCTATACGATGATGTGCGAGTACCTTGGATAGCCAGAGTAAGTTACGAGGACTACTTTTAGACAGGGGCGCAAACACAAACGAAAATACTGGGCCTTATAATTTTTCAATAGGTGGGAGAGTAGGGCCTTAAGTTTTGTTTAGGTAATAAAAATAGTTAAAAAGTAAGTAAAGGTCCCTTTCCAACGCCTATAGGCATATAGGGCTAGACCTATATTTTTATAGACCAATCGGCACAAGATAGGTGATGTGGTCAGCATTACGCCGGCCGTCTTTACTTCCCGGGACTGCACCCGTATCCACTCAAGGCTGAGTCGACCTGGGAGCCAAGGTCATTTTTTGAAAAAAGTCCGGCTCCGCCATGCAGCGGACCTACAACCTTCCGATCCGCACGCTAGCGTCTAGTCGATACGCCACGGCGACTCCTCGTAATAATGATACCAATTATTATTATTATTGTTATTCTGAATGGCACAAAATTACAATAACATATTTAAAATAGTATGAAATGCATAAACAAATACTCCAATAGCTGACGTCTATACCGGTACATGGTAAGGAGGCGACTCTGCACTTTGCCTCCTCGCAAACTTCCGATGGGCGCTGGTGGAGCTTAGTTCTCCTAGACACTGTTAAGGCCCCTAAACAATTGTTGTTACTGACAGGTCGATCCAGCCTTAAGTGGGTACCAGGTACAGTCCTGTGAAGTAAAAAAAAGCCGCCGCGAGATACAGACCATATCAGCCACAAAGTGCCGTAAGGTCTTTAAAATGTATGACTTTGTACTTGCAACTTGTATAAGGAGACTATCTACATACTTTGGTAACAGCATGAGAAGAAATCGTCACCACAATCGTGACGTTGGGAAAGATGGAGGGGAGAAAGAGGCAGAGGGAGAAGATGTTGGACAGTTTGACATCATGGTAATAATGTTTGAAAGTATATGAGACAGAAGGCTGTGGATAGATATGACTAGCTATGCCACAAAGCACATACTAGAAAAGTGGTTTTCAACAGCCCTTCCTCACCCCGATCCAACGCCACCGCCTTTTTTTTAAATACTTGCAAGACCCCCAGGCATGAAGAAGAGATGGTCCCCCCAAAAAACTCAAGCAAGCCTTTTCAAAAAGAACATGGAGAAAAACATCGACATAAATCAAAGTGTCAAATAACATAAAAGAAACAATCAATAACAACTGGTGATTCAGCGCCCAAATATCACTGTGATGGCTGATACGGTTGTGTCCTGATGACATCATCTATGTTTGGTCTGACACTGCACAAGGCTCAACGGAGATCACTGTGGCAGCATTGTTTTGTTTACAAGTACAAATGCGCTTGATTCTCAACACTGCTTGATGCAATCTTCCCCCCCCCCCCCACGAATCTTCACTGCCCCCCTCCCCCAGGGGCGCGCTCCCAGGTTGAAAACTACTGGCTTAGAAACAGTTTATTAACCTATGAAATTATCTTTGTTCTGCTTAACAAAGGTCCAATGTCCATGCTTTTACGCGTGCTGGACACATGATGCTACCCCTAATTTCTTTACAAACCAATCAACAAACGGTGGGTGATGCAGCCAACACCACGCCGGCCCGCTTGACTTCCTTGGTACCTATTTTAGGCTGGGTGGACCTGGAAGTTCGGGCCGACTTTACACGTATACCTCGGTGGGATACGAACCCACGGCAACTGGGTCTACATGTTAAAGCTAAAGTTGAGAGGAACGACTTCACTCCAGCGGTTGTATCAGACACAGCTCGGTCTCTCTCCGACCAGTCGGGGTCTGTGATGTCCCGGGTTCGATCCCAACTGCAGGTGATTTGGCAGCAGCCCGTCTTGCGTTGGTTTCGACAGTGATATCGAGAGCTGACCGTTCGGAGGGCAATGGCAAAATAATGAACGTAAAAACTTGCCTACAAACACAACAGCAGCAAAATATGCTGCGGTTGGTTTTGTAACGTCCCGTAAAGGATACGCAACTATCTCTCCGCAGAATGGCTAGCCGACTGCCCAGAAACTGGGTGGGCTAAGTGGTTTCGATGCTTGGCGTCCGCCTCGAGTGCTTGAGGTCCCGGGTTCAGGCCCCGGTAAAGGCTGTGATTTTTTTTTCACGTGAACTTCTAGTAATTTCCACTGGTCTCTGGGTAGTAAAATTGGACGCCAGTGTGTATCGATGCAAACCTAAAAAAATCCCTTGGCAGTTGGAAATAGAAAATAGTAGCTTAGCGACGTTGCCCTGGCCACAATTGGAGTTAAAATTTACATAAAGTATTTCAGGATCCCCGCCGGTGCTACGGAGTTAGTGCACTGCACTGAGATTCTTCGGACTCCGGCTTGAGTTAGAAGTAAAACGGAGCACTTATTGGGTTACTACTCTTGTGCCATGATGTTAATCCGTTGCTTAAATCTAAACTCTGTAGCTTCAGCAACAGTCTGTCGGTCTGTCTGTGTCCGTCTATCTATCTATCTCTAATAAAGATCTACAAACGGGGTCCTCTCTCCCCACCCACCAAAATAACAGCCAATGCAAGGCCATGAGGGTCTTGAAACAAGGACGAGGTATCTCACCCACCCCCACCCCACTCCCTGACTGCCATTGGGTCACGAGGACATCTTTTCCCTCCCTCGCTTAAAGACACACATAAGCTTCATTGTGTCTGTAGTGAGAGAGAGAGAGAGAGAGAGAGAGAGAAAGAGAGAAAGAGAGAGAGAGAGAGAGAGAGAGAGAGAGACTACCGATAAACAAATCGCCACCAAGCCCCTACAATTTGCATCACATTATCTAGTGTTATCCACGCCATTCCACCGATGGCCACCCCAGTGACTCCCTGGAGATCTGACAGTCTCTGACCCCGGCTGTATCAGGCTCTAAATCCCCATGACTAAACTCAGTGTGCTCGTGTTGTGTAGTTGCCTTATCTAATGTGGGTTCTAGTCTGTGTCACTGCAGCCGGTGACAGTTAGGCAGCTCTCATGTCCTCATGTGTAGGTTAGATCCTTTTTTTTTTCTTGTTTAGCATTCCATCCAAGCACCTTGAGGTTCACTGCTACTGATAACACCCGCCCCAATGCATCTCTCTGGCTCAGGGCTGCCAACAATGGGTATTTACCCCCAGATCTGGGTTTTTATTTGACGCCTTGGGTTCAGATTTTGGAATCTTGGTTTTTTTTTTTTAAGTGGGTAAGTGTTTCGTTTCGTAGCTTTAAAATTTGTACTTTTTAACAATATGAGGTTTTTGATCTTTTAATATGCAATTGCTTGGGTTTTTATTCAGCTTAGCTGGGTTTTTAAAAAAAAATCCAATTGGCAGACCTGCTCTGGCTGGCCTTCTATGTTCGTTTGATGACTCCAAGTGTGTGTAGGTCTGCATGTAAATTATCTTTATAGTCTGCCTTGTGGTCAACTCCCATTCAGTTCCTTTGTGTGCACAGCAGTTTTGAGGGTCTCTCGGTTATCTCCCATTCTCTGTATATGGTAGTCGGGTAGTCTTAGTTTCAGCTTCATAGCAAACGGGTCACCCCATCTTTGCTCCGCTCCTGTGCCAACGAAAAACACACCGAATGTTTATCACAGTCCCTTGTGGAAAGTTTGACAGACTGCTGTCTCAGCATATCTAGCATACACTCGCATTGAAAGCATACGGTAGCCATCCGAAGTGATAACACAAACAGTCCGACATTAGAAATGCAGTTCATCATTGATGATTGCAGAAGTCACCAACAGATCTGCAGTTGCCCACACGATCAATTTTAATCACATACGGGCACCACCAAAATTGTGACGATAGGCATCGCGCCCGTTTTCTGAATCTACAATGCACACAACCACGTTGGTCACAGTCGATAAAACATTCCAAATAAAATCCACAGCTCACAGTGTCACGCCATGCATTCAACTCAGAAGCTGGGCGACGAAACTATATCCAGTCTACAAATGGAGCAAAAATCCATCGGCCACCGTCCGGCAGAAGCAAACAATTTGCCCCGGCTTTAACAGTGGCCCGCCTAGCGTCCATTATGACCGGAAGTCTCTGTATATGCCGCAACCAATGCAGTCTTTTATACAAAATAAGTATCGCAAATTATTATGTTTCTGTTTGTTCGACGGATCAACATCATAGCATAAGGGTGTAACCCATAAGTGCTCCGTTCTACTTCTAACTCAAGCCCGAGTCTGAAGAATCTCAGTGCAGTACCCGAACCCAGTTGCAACGGCGAGGATCCTGAAATACTTTAGGTAGATTTTTAACTCTCAATTTTGGCCGTTATGTTTCTCTTTGTGATTTTCAACAATGTATTTTTTTTTTACGTGCGTAACAATACACAAGGGCGTCCGATCTTACTACCCAGAGACCAGAGAAGAATTACTAGAAGTCCACGTAAAAATATCCCAACCTTCACAGGGGTTTGAACCCAGGACTTCCAGCACTAGAGGCGGAAACCATACATCGTGACCACTCAGTCCCCGCAAATTATTATTCCTCCTTGCGGGGAGAAACGCGTTAGAGTTGTAGAAAATTTTTTTTAATTTGGCCTGTTTTCGACCGGCATTTCTTGGCGCCAGATTAATCTATGGCAGCCATTTACTCGGGAAAGTGCACTCACTCGTCCTGGTCCAGCATATGATCATCAAAGCTGACTATTGCAAATATTTAAGACAGACATAAATACAGAAATTATGAATCGTAAGGAGGGGCGACACTGGCCAAGAACATTAACAAGATACATACTGCTAGCTCTCTTGAAAAGAAAAAGGCACTATGGGTGATATTTTTTAATGTGCATGACAACAGACACTGGGACACATACCAGACAATTGTTTGATCTTGGACTTGATGAAGCGCTCCTGGTACTGCGGCGTGTTTGCCAGCTCGTCAAACGGATCCACGGATGACATGTTATTCTAGACAACACTATTTCACCCGGAAAACAACTGTTTAACTTAATAACAACAGCTGGCGAGAATGAGTTAATGAAAGGAGTAAAAGCAGTATGTTCTCTGACTCGAGCACATCAAAGACTGCCAGGTGAGCTCTATTGTATGCTGTAAGGTAATGGCGATTGCATACTAAACTGTTGAAGGAAAAAACGCATAGTTATCCAATGGTGCGTTTTTATTAGTTTGTAAATAAATTATCGTACTCGGGTGTGTGAAAATCAGACTCAAATGTAGTTTACCGTGTCCAGTGGACACGTGGGTGTGAAATGCGTTGGTTTTTGTAATTTTTACAACGCAGTGGTCAATTGTGTTTAAGACCATATTTGTGAGCAAAGCTCAGGATGCGCGCTCAAGAAAACAATAACGAGAAAACAACACAATTTGCGGTGAACACTATTCACTGCCGACGCAACTGAAACCCTATAAAAGGATAATGCTACACCAAAACGACCAGTTCCTTTTCAAGCAGTCACGGATTGCACCTCTTTTGATAAATTTTAGGAATATTGCTATTGGCCGATTGCACACAGGAGAAAGTCAAAGTCATGTTGCCAGGCATCTAAACGTGCATCAGAGTACCATCAGTCGACTATGGCAGCGGTTCCAAGCCACTGGTTTAGTTAAAGACCGACATTGAAGTGGACGACCCAGAGTGACAACAGCAGCGGAGAATCGCTTTATTCGGCTACGTCAGCTCAAAGACAGGTTTACAACAGCTTCCTCAACAGCGCAGGCTTTGCCTCCAGGACGTCACGTGACTGATCAAACTATTCAGAACAGACTGCATGATGTTGGACTTTAGGCTCGACGACCACACCGAGGACCTGTCCTTACGCGTCGCCACCCCCAAAATCGACTTCTTTGGGCCAACAGACGTGTCTGGCTCAGTGACGAATCTTTCTTTTTGTTGCAGCGTCACGATAGACGGCGTAAGGTTTAGTCCAAAATTGTGTTGATGAAGCTCTGCTGCACGGTGGTGGAGGTGTAATGGTATGGGGAATGATCAATAACATTCAAACCCTGCCCTGGCCATCCCAGTCTACAGACATGAGTCCGGTTGAGCACCTGTGGGATGAGCTGCAAAGACATGTTTGTCGCCGAAACGTTGCTCCAGCCAGTGGTCGTGATGTGGTCCAGGCACTCCGAGAAGAGTAGGCAGCCATCCCACAGGCCCACATCATAGATCTGATCGCATCCTTGCCCAAGACATGTCAGTCACTGATCCACGCAAGAGGAGGCCACACACCATACTAACGGGGAAGGCCTACGCTTAAAAACTATCGTGACCCAGATGCAAAAAAAAAAAGGTGTCAATTGATTGGCGGAACCCTAAGATATTCTTGTGTGAAATTTGAGTAATTACACTTACTGCATTATAAAGGTGCAGAATGTCAAAATTGTATGTATATGTCTTCCTATCAGTAACTATGCGGTTTTTTAAACAGTATAGAAGCGAGCAAGTAAGGGAGGAAATAGCTAACTAACACGATTAGAGACATAATTGAAAAGGAGGTGTGACACAGCTGATAGTACTGCCTAAGGCAGGTGTGGGAAACGTAGGCCCGTGGGCCGTAAGGCTCGCGTCACAAAATTTGTTGGTCCCCGCCTATCATATATATCAGGTTAATTTTTATGTTGATAACTATTATAAATATCCAAATGGTAGCGTGCAGAAAAAATGCATCCACGCGCAGTCTGAGGAAATGTTCCTGTGAAAGGAAAGGAGGTGGAAAGAGGAGATGAAGGAGAGAGACAGACAAACACAGGACAGTGAGATGGTGTTTAAAAAAAAAAATTAACAAAAAGCAAGACTCCAAGTTTTTTTAATAAAATAAACTGCAGAATTCAGCGCTCCATTCTAATTACTATCATAGGACTGTACTGTGGGGTTGACGGAAGAGGGCAGGAGGAGAAATAAAAATGGCCACTATAAACAGAAAAGCCAATGTTGTTTGAACTGAGAGCAATGGCTTCTTGTCTCTAAAGAACATAGGGCACAAGCTGCCGGATCAGCATCTATGGAAAACGGATTTCCCAGTTATCCGAGTAGGGCAGTGTGACCTAAGGAGCCTGGACTGATTTAAACGAATACTGATTCCCATGAAAACACACTACAAGCAAATGAAATTCGGTTTTGCAAGGTAAAAATCAGGTTAGTAAATGCAACGAACAAACTTCGTTTCGGTCACACGATTATTTGGTTAACAGCAGTTTAGACAGAATCTACAGGGAGAGTCGCCGACGATAGGATCATCTCTTGTATGTTAAGTGTTCGTGTACTAGACTGCTAAGTCTCATAATGAAACATGTAGCTTACACGCTTAGACTGTATATCTCAACACAGGCGGTGACACGACCTCAAAAGTACTGTCCCTTTATTAGACTCAGCAACATTACATTAACAATTGTAACCAAAGCATGCTTAGCTAATTGCAGCAACTCTCTGAATTCAATGCACACAGTCCTTAAAGAGACTAGATCAACTCAGTAAAATTACAAATAGTTATATTAACCACACAAAAATCGTTTAAATAACAACAGCAAATCGTTAATTTAACAAAACAAATCCTCCAGAAGTCTAGTTTCTACAGACTGCTGTGCTATACTTGGAATTCAACAGAGGTCAACGGAAGACGGACCAATGTCTGGGCTAAAGAAGGCGTGCCTAGACCAAGAGGGGCGGACCTTAAAAATAAAAAATAACGACCTAATGTGTTATCACTTAACCATAGTAGGCATGACTGATGACACAGCGTATGACTGTAGCCACCACTTGTGCATCTGGAGTACTAAGACGACGCATACTTGGCCCGTTATATGTAGTCGATGTCAAGTGCCTGCAAACGTGTGCCTACTTCTTCAGATAATACCAACGCCATTTTGGCGGACTGTAAGAAAACATGAGAATGTATTTGTTTTTGTTTTTAAATAACCTGCGCCACCATACAGAGTTCACAATGGATACACATATCTCCAGTCTGTTTAGCTGGAGAATCCGGACATCTTCAGTTGTGTTAGCTTGAAAACAGAGTTATATTCAGCTTGTAAGGCTGTAAGGAACAGTGATTTTCAGCCTGTGTAGCTAGTACAAAAAAGAGTGTTAAACTGCTATATTGAATCAATGTTAGTATGTATACACGTGGGCTATAGTCAATAAATGGAAAAGCTGGCAGCCGGGATGTGATGTTTTGATAAGAAAACAACAATATCATGAAATGATATCAACAAACCAAGCAGTCCTTCTGCAGACAGATGTCATCCGTAAAATGATTAGAGCAATTATGTACCGACAGTTGCTGTTTTGATCTCAGAAGAAAGGACTCGACAATTTCGGTACAACTGGCCATGTTGCTGGGACAATAGCAAGGGTATGGCAAATAAATAAATATCTGTATGACTTGGTCATATGGATGGGACCAGACTGCAGCACTGATCTTATCCAGACGACCGCCCACGGTTATCGGCATGGCACACTATGACGATGATAAAAGTTAAGATTCATTTATCTTTAGCATGTTTAGCTTAACAGAGTGACAGTCAGCATGTCTGGCCCGAGAATAGAGTGAGCTCAGCATGGTTAGCCTGAGAAAAGAGTGACATTCAGCTTGTTTAGCCTGAGAATGGAGTGACAGCTTCATTCGCCTGAAAAGTGAGTGACATTCAGCCTGTTTAGCCTGAAATCAGAGTGACATTCAGCTTGTTTAGCCTGAGAATGGAGTGACAGCTTCATTCGCCTGAAAAGTGAGTGACATTCAGCCTGTTTAGCCTGAAATCAGAGTGACATTCAGCTTGTTTAGCCTGAGAATGGAGTGACAGCTTCATTCGCCTGAAAAGTGAGTGACATTCAGCCTGTTTAGCCTGAAATCAGAGTGACATTCAGCTTGTTTAGCCTGATTTAGAGAGATATTCAGCCTTTTCAGCCTGAGAACAGAGTGACATTAAGCCTGTTCAGCCTAAGAAGAAACATTCGGTATGTCTGGCCTGAGAACAGCGTAACATTCAGCCTGCTTAGCTAGACACATCGTCAGCTTGTTTAGATAGATGTATATTGCAGCTGTTTAGCTAGAATATTTAGTTATTTCCAAGCTGTTAAACAGAGGACACACTGAGACTCAAGATGGCTAGATCCAGCTCTGCAAGCGTAGCTTGAGGATACATGATATACAAGATCGTCAGTGATGTCCTGGCATATACATGAGCACAACATGTGAGGTAGGTAATAAATACTACTTCATGTACGTCAACATCAGGCCGGCAGCCTTTACTTCCCGAGACTTTATATAGTACCTATTTAAATCTGTCGACGTCTGTGGATTGGGAGTTGCAAACGCGAATTGTAAATACCGGGGTGCCGGGTTCGTTCCCAGCTGCGGACGGTTTGTCATGCTTTGGTTCCGACCGTGGTACCGAGAGCTGACCGTTTAGTAACCACCGGCAAACTACTGAACGTAAAATTTGCCTAGAAAAACCACAAGAGCCAAAGAATGCTGGGGTTGGTTCTGCAACATCCTGTAAAGGATAGGCAACTAACTTTATTTAAGACTGGGTCGACCTGGGAGCCCAAGTCATTCTTGAAAACAAACAATCCAGCTCCATGCGCATTTGAATCAATAACCTTCAGACCCAAGATGAGCGTCCAGCCACTACACCACGGTGCCCCCCCCCCCCCCCAATGCTTTAGGTGTGTTCCATTTCATGTGCTGCTGTCCTGTTAATGAAAAAGACCCAGACGGCAACGTTTCGAGAAGTTTCCAATTCATGTTAAATGTCTGACTTCAAAGACAAGAATAACACAATTATCATAAGGTCCGTCCTTCCTTGTTTTCTCGGGTGAAGGGAGGTGTGTCAATTGTAAAGTTCAACAAGCATCCCATAAAGGGGAGCGTTTGGTTATAATTGTGACTAGGTTATTTGCGCCACATAAAATGGTTTAACAGTGATCGTCATCAAGTAACCCTGAAAAG